GAAAACATCTCAGAATCTGTAAACAACACACTTTCTACACAGAGATAAGGATGGAGATTAATGTCTGAATTACCCTGGATAATTAGTGTAGCAGATAATCGTTTAAAATCTGGCACATCTGTGAATACATCACTTTGACTGAATTAGAAAATATTTGCAGCTGCTACAGTGAAATGGCTTCAGCCATCCCACAGGGAAATCTTTGTGGGAGATTAATTCTCACTTCAAATGGCAGAGATTTGCAAGAGGATTATGCGGCCAGGATGACACATTCACATTGTGATAGGAAGTGAGACAGGCTTTTTTTCCTCACAGCAGAGCCGAGTGCTGGTTTCTTTGAGTTCATGTATTCTTTGAGTTTGAGGGCTCGGCCCTCTTAAGTGTGGAGTGTTTGAAAGCTGAAACGCTGAGCAGTGCTTGAAAGAAAACGGTGACAAGAACAAGGGCGAGAGAGACAGAAGCTCTCAAAGAGAGGACAGTGAAATCCCAACTTAAATTAAAATTCCTAAAGCAACAAGGTCACGCTGGCAAAGCTAGTGAATGTGGGGTTTTAGCTTATTATAAATGTTACCAAAGAGTTGTCATATAAGAACTCTGCATGAGACAGCACAGGTCTGGGAGGATCCTGTACTCACTCTCAGACTCAGGCAGCTCCCAAAAATGTGTCTCTTGCCCAGGGGTCAGCAGTCACTGGGGAAACACCCCAAACCTGGAGCACACCTGGCGGGGTCACATTCCCAGCCAGTGCAAGGACTGAGGTCCTGGCTGTAAGTCCCAGGTGCTCCAGCTTTGAGCTCAGTACACAACAGATACTGAAGTGGTGCTCAGCACAGGGAGGAGAGTTTGGGGAGCTGCAGCTTTGTGTGAGGATTTTATTGCTTACAGCACTAAGGAGAGCTCTAACCAAGAAAATGGTGGTTTTCCTGGCACACAAAGACATTGTCAGTAAAACTGAAGTGTCTCTTTGCTGTATATTTCCAACACAAAACTGCTGCCAGGAGCTCTCATCTGATTTGCTCAGGTTCACAAAACATCAAGGTGAATAATTGAGACAGGCTGCGTTTGCAAACTCTGGGGAATTTGCAGCAGCAAAACAGAGAAGGGGAGAAAAGACACTTTGAGCTTTGTACAGAGGGTCTGGTCTGTCTTTTCAGAGAGGTTACAGTGCACTTGTTGACTGAGACAGCACAAGAAGAAATACAGGTGGGGTGAAGCCAGCATCCCCCAGCCTCACCACAGACACACTCAGACCAGCAGGGATTTGTTCAGACCAGCCTCAAAACTTCCTAAGGGAAAAGCCTTGCTAAGATTTCGAGCTCTCAGCCCTAGGAAAGCCCGTGGAGTCACAGAATCCAGAATGGTTTGGGTTGAGATCACCTTTTCCAACCCTCAGCCATGGGCAGGGTCGCCTTCCACGAGACCAGGCTGCCCCAAGCCCTGCCCAGGCTGGCCTGGGTCACTTCCAGGGATGAAGTGTCCCATCCAGCTATTTCAAAAATGAAAAAAAACCCTCTGCTTTGTGCAGAAAAGCTTTTTAAGGCTTTTCCTTCCTTTCCCAGAAACAAATTTGCAATCCCCAAGGCAGAGATTTGCCTTACCTTCCTCTTCAAACAGCATCCAACATCCACTGCCAAGGACTGGCCCTTTCGTGATGTGCTGAAGGAAACTGCTGCCAAGTCCCCACTCCTGATCCCACACTGACACTGGGCCTTTGCTGGGCTTTTGTAGAGGGGATGGGTGGATTTATCACAGAATATCACAGAATAATCACAGAATATCACAGAACCTGCCAGGGTGGAAGACAGCACATTCACACCTACTCCAGTGCTGACAGAGAAATTAAAAGATTCGTCTCTATCCAAAATAAGTCTTTGCAGTGTCCTTCGGTCCCTGCCTTGCCCGGAGCTCCCCAGGCAGTGCTGCCAGGTTTGTAGCTGCTGCAGGGCTGTGTAACCCAACCCTGGGCTCCTGCAGCTCTTCCCCTACAAAATGTTGTAGATGCTCACAGCAGCAACGTGCAGCTGCCACTGGGCTTTTCCTGGTGAAGAGCAGGGGAGGTTTAGCTTGGATAGCAGGAAAAATTCCTTTTCCTAAAGAATTGTCCAGCACTGGCATAGGCTACCCAGGGCAGTGGTGCAGTCTCCATCCCTGGAGGGATTTAAAAGGTGTGTGGATGTGGTACTGGGGGCCAGGGGTTAGTGGTAGCCTTGGGGAATGGTTGGAGGTGATGATCTTCGTGGGCTTTTCCATGACAAATGGTTCTGTGAAGCACAGAAAGAGCAGCTGAGGTCCCTTCTCTCCCCCTCCCTGGTCCCTCTGGGCTCACCTGGCCTGCAGTGCCCATCCTCCCTCTTGTTTCAGCTCAAGCTGCCCAGACCTGGAGAGGTTCAGGTGGAAAGAAGGGCATGAAGGAGCTTTCAGGTGTGGCAGGGAGCAGCCAGCCCTGCCTCTGCAAGGGGCTGAGGCAGCTCTGCCTGGAGCTGAGAGCAGCTGACACGCAGGAGTTGTCCTGTGGGCTGGCAGGCAGAGACAAATGAACCAAAAATGACCAGGAGTTGTTATTTTTTCTTTTCTTTTCTTTTTCTTTTTCTTTAATGGTGGCAGTTATTCAAACTGCTTTTTTTTACTACCCAGGATTTCATTTCCAGCAGCACCAACCTGTGATACTTCACAGCAATGCTGCAGTTCACCAGTTTATGGGGTGTGATGGTGCTTGAGGAAAAAGGGGCATGACAGCCTGAATCTCTGAGCTTCCCTATGGCTTGCAAAGAGCCCCTGTGTTAAACTGGTAAGGGACAATGATGTTCTGGGCTGGTTCAGACCATCTGCAGAGATTAATGTGCTCCCAGGCCACTGAGACAGTCGTTCTAAATTCAGGGCTGCACATAATTTGAATACATTACCAAAATGGACTTCAGCTGCACCTCACTGTCAAAATGTGAGCATATTTTACCCGTGTCAGGGCACTGGAGCATGGCCAGAGAGCCAGTGTAGTAATTTTTTGGGCACGATGTTCAGCAATATTTTATTAAACTCCCTGTCCTACACTTCAGTGCTGCCTGCCAGAGCTGCAGCCCAGCACCCCTCGCTCAATATGCTGCTTGTTCCAGCCTCACCAAAATCTCCTCAGAAAATTAAAGTCCTGCATTGTCCTTTTCTCCCACCTTGTGCTGTTCTTAGCCTGAATCACCGTGACTTTGGTTTAATCTCGTGTCAGACACTGTCCCCGCAAATGCCGAGCGGCTGAAATGTCACAAGTGTCAGCTTAGCACTGCTCTGCAGTGGTAACAACACCCAGCTACACCATTCCAGCTCAGTCTACTGCTGTCAGCTGTGTTCAGCACAAATTATTTTCCCCCCCTTCTGCCTAATGCCAGAATTTCTGCAGAACGTACAAAACAGTGGCATTTTTTTCAAGTTTAAAACTAGCAGAAAGCAGCATGAGATCTGTTTTGGGTCTCTGCAGCATCTCTGGCCTCTGCCCTGGTGTTGGAGGGAATATGTACTGTGTTACTGGGTTGACTCCACCATTATTAAAAATTGATTAAATTTTGCTCCCCAAACCCTTCAGGTGTTATGAAGTCTGTAAGGTCAGTCTCTTCCATAACTCAGCATTCCTTTCCTGGGGACTCTATGGACCCTGTGTCTTATCTGTGCAGCTGTAAAATGATGGTATTAACTTCCCACCTCCACTTTGTTGGGATGAAAAACACTAGGGACCAGGAAACCATCATGGTGATAATATAAATGCAAAAAAACCACCAAGCCCAGAGTAAAATGTGTCCTGGCTTCTGTAAGGATAATGCAGAGGCAAGATGTAAAATACAGCACACATAAAATGTGTCATTTCCTTATAAGAGCAGAATTAATGGAGGCCATAAAAAACAAATCAAAAACCACTATGGAAGACCTTTTTCCCAGGGAAGAATATGAGAATTCATTGTATTCAGACATGAGGAACAGTGGTTTGTGATAATAAAAATGCTAGCAAAGAGCAAAATAGGAAATGTGTTTTCTTGCTTCTTGCATTGGTGAACTAATAAGCACAAGCTCTTAAGGACACAGCTGGCCTCTAGCACACGGAATTCTCCTTGCTGGGTATTGCTGCCCTCTTCTTTCTCAGTGGTTGGCAGTTTTTACTCCAGTTACATTTCACACCCATTTTTTTACGCCCACCCCCAGCGAGGGAGATGTAAAGAGAGACATGTGGAAGACCACCCTGGGTCAGGGGTGGCTCCGTGTGTTGGAAAAACTTCTCCTCCAACCCGAGCTTCCAAAGAAAGGCTCAGCAGTCTCTTGTTGTTTGGTCTCAAGGCAGTTTATTGCAAGTTATCTAAAAGATTTTCTTCTGGGGCTGCTGTGGTTTGCTCACAGCTCAGGCAGAGGCACACACACACCCTGACATCCTCTCTGACTCCCGACTGCTTCTTCTCTCCCCCTCTGCCCAGGGCTGTGCTGTCTTTTATATGGTACATTACGTGTTACATGGGTACAGTTTTTCCCCAATGCCCATTACCTATATTAAATGGTGCTTTTCTACTCTAAACCAATCTGTGAGTGCCAACATCACCAAGAATATGGAGGTAAGGAAGAAGAAAGAGGAAGGACAGGACAGGCCCAAATCCCTCCATCTTAAAACCTCTGACCCCCATGTACAAAACAAAAACCCCCCTGTACAGCACTAAAAAATTCTTCCCTCTACTTTGTAACTACTTCTACTATAATATCTAAATTTTTGTGACTTCTTGTTCTTCCTGCAAGGTTGGTAAATCATTCCATGGTTCAAACCCAAAATCACAGCTGTTTCCAGCTGCCTGCCAGGGTCTCAGATGCTTCTGACCTGGACCCAGAACCTCCAAAAATGTCTGAGGGACATTTTGAGTTCCCACAGAGACACTGCTCTACCTGCAGCTGGATTAATCCCTCACACCCCCCCTCCTCAGGCTGGCTCCAGGAACACCTGCCTGCAGCTGCTGATGGTCTCTGCCCTTCTCTCACAGGACCACGCGGACATCGAGTGGAAGTTTGCGCGGACGAAGCTCTGGATGAGTTACTTCGACGAAGGCGCCACTCTGCCCCCTCCTTTTAACATTGTCCCCAGTCCCAAGTCGGTCTGGTACCTTTGCAAGTGGATCCACAACCAGCTGTGCCCAGGAGATGACTCTGACAATGAACAGAAGAGGCATGAAAATCTCAAAACATTCACAGTAAGGAGCTCACGGGTTTGTGCTTGGTTTCTGGAGGGTGTTGGGGATATTCAGGGTTGTGAGGGATCAGCAGAGAGTTGCTGGATCATAACTTGCTGTCTGGGTTTTGAAAGACAGGTGTCTGCTAAGGAAGGCAGGAGCCTCCCCTGAAGTAGAAAATGTAAATCCCCTCCCTCCAAATTATTATGATTTTGAAACTAAGAAGCTCTCAGACAAAGATATGGGAATAGGAATATCAGTTCTTTGCTAGGAAAATTAAAAATACAAATGCAATAGTACAAACAAACAAAACAAAATCTACTGCCAGAGTCAGAGCAGCCCTGGCAGCCTGTGGGTCAGGGAGGTGGCAGCAGCCCCATCCCAGGGTGGCTCAGCCCTCCTGCAGTGCCAGCTGTGCTTCTGCTGGAGCAGGATCCTGCACAAGGGGGGAGTTTTCCTCTGGAGCTCCAGGGCTGGGGGAGATGGGCCTGGGCTCCTCTGGGAATGCAGTGGGAAGAAAGCTGCTCCTCTGGGAATGCACTGGGAAGAAAGCTGCTCCTCTGGGAATGCACTGGGAAGAAAGCTGCTCCTCTGGGAATGCAGGGGGCAAAGGCTGCTGTGCTGTTCCCAGGTCAGATTGTATCCAGGTAGGAATGCTCAGCTCCTCCCCTGGGCAGAGCATCTCCCCATGGGATGATGGAATTTTCTCAGCCATGCAGGGACACTCACTGGCCATGAACAGGAGATAATTAATAATTAATAATTAATGGCCCGTGAACAGGAGAGATCTCCTGGAGGGAGGATTGGTTGTGGGAGAGCTAAAGAAAAGTGCACAAAGAACAGCAGAGAGCTGCCCCAGCTCTGACAGATGGGAAATAAAACATGCACCCCCAGCTAAACCTGAGACGCTTGCTCAGAGCCAACGGGAGCTCCAAAGACAGGACCAGACTGGTGACACCCTGTGCCTTTCTTTTTCCAGGAACGTCACGCTGACAACCTGATTCAGAATCAACATTACCAGGTAAACTTTTGGGCACATAAAGTTTGCTGTTTCTTTCTCCTCCTCATTTTCCAATACTTCAATCCTTGCTTGCTTCCAGAATATATTTTGATCGTGTAGGTCCTCTAAGAGGATTTAGCTTATCATGGATTAAAGCATTTCCTCGTTGGAGGTGGATGGTTCAGTAAATCTGTCCTTGCTTTTCACCCCCTCTGGAATAGTGGAAGACTTGCAGGTATCAGTGTGGCTGCTGAAGTCAAGGTCACATCCCCATTGCCATCAGGCTGTCAGGACATCCTGATTAAAACTATTTCTGCAGCATTTTTAAATGCCTGAATTGTTCCTCTCTTGCTATTTTTTGTAAAACACCCCTAACTCAGACTATGGTTGGGACATTCTTTTGTTTGGGACAGCTCAGGAAGGAGGAATGGTTCCTTTATTGAATCTTGCTGGTTTGTTTATTCTCAGCTTGCCTGTGATCAAATACTCATTAAACTCAACCTACGAAAAGGTGAAACTTCATTAAAAACACCCTCTTCAGCCCTTGAATTCAGTGGATGTATTATGCCAGCATGCTGGAAGGAAAAAAATTCTCCAAAATGTTAGGTGATACGTTAGGCTCCACTGCCAAAAGCCATTAGTAATTTGTCTTACTTAAGACATCTCCTGCTTGCTGAAGAGCACTTTTATCAGAAGTTGGTGGTTAACATAATTAGTCACCTTTGACAAGTGCCATATGGTGCTTTCTGACTTCGCAGCACAGCTTACGGCTGCGACATTGGGATCTCTCAAAAATCTCCCAGCAAAGCCTCGCTGCAGACACCATCCTCAGTCTGGTGTTGCTCAGTCTTGTTTGTGAAGTAGGAGAGATGCAGGGCAAGTTTGGAGTAGTCTCTTCCCTGCACACAACAGGCACAAACAGCCTGGGTGCGTTTGGCTGGCACAGATAAATGTGCAAGCTCAAAGCACCAGTTTGTTTCCATGAAGCCATCAGGGAGGGACATGAGCAGAGCACAATGGAGCTCATCCAACCAAAAACATGGAGTGTAGCAGACAGGTGACACAGAGGAGTGAGACTCCCTGGAGAAGTCACTGAAAGTGTGATTTGGGCCTTCCAGTGCTGCCCACAGATGGTGCAGCTGTCCTTAAAGGGGTTTGTGCCCTTAGGGAACACTCGGGCAGCTGCAGATGTGGTTTGAGGTGAATGTTCATTGACCCATGGGGTCCTGGCTGTTCTTCACATTATTTATTGCTAACATGGCCTCCTTGGCTTCAAATACTTGATAAACCACCTTCAAATGCCAAATTTAGCCCATCATGATATGCACTGTGTGCACATGACATTGGTAATTGTAAAACCTTTCAGCAGCTGAGATTAAAGAGCACATCTAAGAGCTGCTTGGAGAGAACACTCCAAGAATATTTTTTCTCCATGGCTTGCACATCTACAAACCCCAGTACAAAACAACTGCTTTGCCTTTAGTTAAAATCTGAGCATCCATAAGATGGAAGCTGTATCACCCCTTCCCAAGGTTTGCTCTGCTTAAAAGGAAGCATTTTGTTTCTAGTGGTGACTGGTTTGTAGCCAGCAGAGTCAGGACAGCTGCTGTTGGCAAAACCTCAGGGAAACACAGCAAGAACAGAGTTTGGGCTGAGTTAGCAATTGAATCACTTGGATTGTTTCCTATTCCAGGAAGTGATAAGAAATCTTGTGAAAAGATACGTCGCTGCAATGATAAGAACTTCCAAAACCAATGAAGGTTTAACTGAAGAAAACTTCAAGGTAATTTATTATTACTCAATAATAATTTGTTTTATTAATTCAAACAGCCACTTGCAGAGCTTGCACTAACTTGTTAAGGTGATTTATGATGTGTGGAAATAGGATTGTGACTGGAGCTGGGCATATATCCGATGGGCCTTGTGGGGTTTTGTGGGCAGAGTTAGTAATTATTGAGTGTCTTCCTGTATGACCACTTCCCATATTTTAATATACAATGTGCTATGCAGACAAAAGCATTGGGAAAGAGTAAGAATGAAATATGTGATTTGAGACAACATCACATTCCCAATCTTAATGCAGACAGAGCCAAAGAATGGGTTAGGGTTGATGGACACTAAGAACACTCACCAACAAGTGTTAAGTTGGGGCTATCAGCTAGAAAGGATTCCTGCCATATTTCAGCAGTATTCCCTCTTCTGTAACTCTTTTATCTGACTTTTTGGGGTTTGCAGGGGGTGGGCAGAGGGGGTTGTTTAGCAGGACCAGTCCCCAGCCTTTGGAGACAAAAGCCTTGTCCCCAATTCTCAGCACTACCACCACATTTTTGTGTGACACTGGACAGGAATGTGATGTTCTTGTGTGATTTGGTACCAGCCACTGGCACAACTGAGCTCTCCCGAGGGAATGTGGTCATTCCTTCATGTCAGATGAGGCTGCTGGGAGTAACTCCTGTCTCTCCTTGCCCCAGGAATTAAAACAGGACATCTCGAGTTTTCGCTATGAAGTTCTTGACCTCTTAGGCAACAGGAAGCCCCAGAGGAGAAGTTACTCTACCAGCAGCACAGAGGTATCCCAAAAGGAGGAAACAAATGAGGACGGTGCTGGAGAAAAACCCAGAGCCAAGAGCGTGTCTTTCAATGTAGCCAACAAGAAAAAGGACTTCAATGTGTCTGCTCTGATTAAAACCATGTCTGGGATGAACATGGTGGAGGAGAAGCCAAAAAGCAACGGGATCAGCAAGCGCTCCTTTGTGCGAAACGGGAACAGAGTGCAGAGACTCTCCAGCTCCAAGAAGGAATCCTTCAAGAGGCTGGGCCTGCTCTTCTCCAAGATGAACGGCCACGTCCCCGAGCCCAGCTCAGAGCCCATGTACACCATTTCAGACGGCATCATTCAGCCCCACTACATGTGGAAAGACATTAAATATTCTCCCATGGACAGAGAGAGAGAAGAGAATTGTTCCAAAAGTGAAATTAACCTCAATGAGGTGGCCTACAGTGGGAACACGAGACTTACAGGACAGAGCAAGGAGTGCCCTGTGGTTTGTACCAGTTCCCTTCACTGTGCTTCCAGTATTTGTTCCTCTAACTCCAAACTTATAGACTCATCAGAGGATGTGTTTGATTCATGGGGAGAGGCCTGTGACTTGTTTATAAACCAGTGGAAAGACGGGCAGGAGGATCATGTTACCACTCGGCTCTGAGCAAAGCTCTCTTAACTCTCACTGGAAAACTCAGCCAAGTATTGGTAATTGTTTGCTCTCATCTGGTTCAGCATCACTGTTTCCTTTCTGTCCACAGGTGAAAAAAAAAAGTGTAAACCTAATTATGTTATAGCCTATTTTATAGCCCTCTGCACCTTTTTAAGTTTACGTTTTTTACACTCACTAATACTAAACTAATGGTTTCACCATTTATAAGGTTGCCATAAACCACAGGAATCCATTTGGATGCAGTCTTAGTCTCCAAACCCCACAGACTTCAGGCGTGCAGGTGGCTGAGGAAAGGATTTCTCCAGTGCTGCCATCATCATCCCACCCCAGCTGGGTTTCAGTGCTGCTGTCCAACACCATTGGCTCTGCATCCTCAGTGTTCCTCATCAACACAAACAGCTCTTCAGCAGCAGGCTGAGAATCACACTGAAAGTATTTTTCAAAGTGGTTTTGACCTATAACTGTTTTTGTTTGTTTGTTTGTTTACTTTAAGCAATATGACTTCTGATTCTTTTGGTTGTGCTTGTTTTTTCAGGCCACTATATTAATATTGTAAATTATTTATGAATATGAGACCCCTTTGATCATCCACCCAGAGCATATTTTTGTTGCTAACATATTTGCTTATTTACCTAATTTCCCTTTTGGGGAGCAGAAGGACCTTCCAAATAGGCTGACAGTGGGAGCCAGCACCTGGCCTTGCCTCCAACTCCTGTGTAGATGAACTGAAAAGAAAACAACCCAAAACAACCCTTGCTGCTTGAAATACAAATCTCAGAGTAGTTTATAATAGGCTGAACCAAAACTCGGCCCTTTTTTTGCAATTCCTAATTTTACTTCCAGTGTTGCATTCACTTTTTGCTGCCTCTCTGATGGGTGTGAGGAGGAAATCCATCTTCTGAGGGAGGGCATCTTCCCTGGGCCCCTGAGCTGCAGGTCTGAAAAGCAGCCTGAGCAAGAGCAGAAGTGGAACAGCTCTGCAGGTCCTTCTCTGAGGTGCAACAAAAAGGAATGTGGCAGGAGGTGGTATTTTTTATTATCTTTTATTTGCCCAGCTGTGGGAGTGTCTGGAGAGGGCTTGGCACTGTCACTGCTGCTGTCCCAAGGAGCATCAGAGCGGGGAGAAAGCCCCGTCAAGGGCAAGGTGGTTGAATGCTTAACAGGGATTTTTAGGGGGTTTTATTTTAATTTTTGAACAATGGGATACTTGAACTTTCTTCTGCAGTGCTGCTCAGAAACACAGATGATGGGCACTCAGCACCACCTCAGAGCTGCTCTTGGTCAGCTGCTTCCTTGGAGGGAGCAGGTCCTGCCCAGGAGCTCAGCAATGGTTTTGTTCCTGCCCTCATTCCTGCCCTCCTGCAGGGCTCTGCTCCCAGCAGGGTTATGGAGCTCCACATTTCCCCAGGGTGGCAGCCAGCAGTCACCTCAGCTGGGAACTGGGGTGTGAATTGAGAAACAGAATGCTGGAGAACCTACACCTGCCAGGGGCACGAGCAGCTCTGCTGGCAGCACGGAGGGTCAGAGGGGTGGGAGATGCTGGAACCCCTGCAGCTGGATACTCTGCCCAAGTTTTAAACCTGGCTCCCTCCTCTTGTGGGGGAAAACTCCCCTTGTGGGGTTTTTCCTTTGGGCACTCGTGCAGCTTCACCCAGCAAATGGAGCACAGAGAGAAATGTGAGTGCTGCAGCAGCTGCTGGGGCAGAGCTGGGGTGCCAACAGCCTGAACCCATGGGGGTGCTCAGGGCAGCCCTCTGTGGCTCCAGGGCAGCCCTGGTGTTGAGATGAATCAGCAGCAAGGAGCAGAGACTCCAAGCCATTTCTGCATTCCTTGCTTATAATGACAACAGTCTTGTTATCAGCAGGCAGTGTAAAACCCCAAATATTTAAGTGTCTGGATGTGTTCGTTAAGGCAGAGTGAAAGGCATTTTTGTATCAACAGATTTCGGGCTTTCACACTAATTGCAGGGTTAGAGTTGTCTTTGAAAACTGCATTTCCTCTTCCCTCATGGAAGGCTGAGCAAACTGACATTGGTGGTACACAAGGAGACTTGTAAAGCCCGAGGGGGGAGCAGCTTGTTGGTCATTCCATGAGGAAATCAGGCACCCCTGGCTGGAGGAGCAAATCCATCGACAGGGGAGAGCCACAGGCAGAACCCATCAAGGCAAGGCTCACAATAAAAGCCCCACAGGTCAAGAAACCAAACTGAGCACATTTGTGCAAAGATAAACATTAACAGGAGCTGCTGCAGGGGGGTGAATTCGAGCCCTTTGATGCCTCACCTAACCCACACTGCAGTCTGTGAACTCTGCTTGACGTGGGGCCAGCCAATCTTTGTGGCATTTCCTGGGTAAGGAGGAAGAATGAAAACAATTCAAGTACAGTTATGCAGATTACATCAACTGGGCTTGAAATTGGGCCAGAAGCTGGGTTTGTATCCTTGGACAGCAGAAAGGCTTTGAAGTGTTCAGTGAGAACAAGCACACAGCCGCTGGTGACGCTCACTCGAATGCATTACCAGGTACAAACAGCACAAAGAGAGGGAATTAACTCAGCAGTGCTGCCCCCAAAAATGCAAAAATCCCTCCCCTGCAGACTGTGTGAGTTATGTTCCCCTGCTGGTCCCGAAAGAGCAGGGCTGGGAGCTGCCATGTGGACAAGAGATCTGCAAGCCCCCAGTGCTGGGCTGAAGGGGGAGATGCTGACGTGGCTGGGGCTCCCCTGGGCTTTGTTTCATGACAGATCCTTCCTTGCTCCCAGCCGCGAGTCTGAGCCGACTCTGGAGTTCAACACAAATATTTGATTTGGCTGTGATTAATACACGTGTCCAGGAGTTTGAAAAACTCAAATTGGTCCCCCCAAAAGGCAAAATTCTCTTTGATTGCATCTATGCATCCCTGTTGATAGCAATAGACTTTGGAGCAGCTGGTGAGTTATTATTATGCTAAAACAGGAGCTTCAGGGGAGCGAAATTGAAGTACCTTCCAAAAAATACATTTGATTAAAAAAAACCAACCCAGGTTTTGCTTAATTCACTTGCAGCACAATATTTTTGAATGCACCAATATTTTTCTGCTTTCAATGGCTCAAAAATGAAAGCGTGTTTTAGTGAAAGTTCTTTCCTTCAGAGAAATGAGTGAATGACCCCTGTGCTGTCTCTGCAAGGGCCAGGGTAGGAGCTGATGGAACACTTGGCTTTCCCCTGTGAGAACTTAAACTTTTCCTTAGCTCAGCTGGGTCACGCCTGGCCTGTATTCTGTGGGCTTCAAGAAGGATCCTTGTATATATGCAAGGAGTTTGGAATTAGGAATAACACATTTTTCAACTATTTTCCCTTCCTTAGATTTCTTGCTCTTGAAGTTGCATGTTTTCTCGCCTCCCATCCCAGTGTCATTTTCACCTGGCTTTTTAAAGCAGCACACCTGCAAATGGTCATGGAATTATGGAGTGGTTTGGGTTGGAAGGGACCTTAAAGTTCTTGTTCCAGCCCCCCTGCCATGGGCAGGGACACCTTCCACTAGGCCAGCTTGCCCCAAGCCCTGTCCATGGACACTTCCAGGGATGGGGCATCATCACCAAGTAAAAAGTTAACAAATAACACCCAGAGTTAAGAACTTAATAGAGCTGGGAGGTGTTTGTACTCAGGTCAGGGATTACCTAAATTGCTTCAGAAACAAGAAATTAACTGAGTTATCTGTGCAGGTTATTTGGATAACTGCATTTGTACGTGGCTCACTTGCTGGTAAATATGTAAATACCCCCGTGTTTGTAGCTGTGTCCCCTCAGAGGAAGCACGGGCAGGGTCAGAGCCAGGAGGGAGCTCAGCTCCACTCCCTGCTCTGCCTCTGCCTCCCCCGTGACCTTGGGCAAGTCACTCAGCCTCTCCAATGCCTCAGTTTCCCCATCTGTAAAATAGGGATAATAATACTTACCTACCTCGCAGGGGGGGTTAGTTCATTATTTATAAGCACTTTCCAATTTAAAGGCGCTATATACAGTACGTAGTTAATATTGGTAGCAGTAGGATGTACTTTTATTTTCTTACAACTAATTCAGGTTAGGATTTAACTGTTATGTCTGTTACGATAATTTTCCATGTAGGAAACTCGCATGGTTTCCCCATGAAGGGAATTTAGGGGACTTCTGCAGTAGACAGAGAGCAGGAGCAGCATACCCTGAAAGCCTAAATTCTGACACCTTTGCTTTTGTGATTTATGCCTCACCCGAAATGTCACCTTCCTGTATTTGTGTTCCACCCCTTTCCCCACAGCCCATGTAACATGATTTTTAGCAGAAACAGCCACTGTAAATATTAAGAGTATTTAAATAAATATATTAATGTATGAATATAAACCCTTACCTTTGAAAGAGGTTAAAATTGGTTGGTACAACAGGATTCTAAGCACGGAGGGGCTCCACAGGCAGCTCAGCACTGCTGCACACCCGGGGTAGGGCTATAGGAAAATTTCACATCAGCACCTCTGTGATAATCACTTTTCACCCCATCACTGGCAGGGAGAGCTCAGCTGGCTGTCCCAGGAGGGCAGAGGGAGGCTGTGACTGGAGCAGGGCGGCTCTGCTGCTGTTCTGCCCCAGGAGAGGGGACGGCAGCTCTGCACACCCACCCGGGCAGCAGAGAGTGGCCAACACTGGCTGCTGGAGGAGCCTGGACAGCTGGACACTGTCCCCTGCATCCCTGGGAGGGGCTCCTCACACAGATTTCTCTGTACAATGTGTTTTCTGTAGTGTACACTCTTTGAGCAAGAGGAGCTCAAAGAGGGGACTGGCAGGGCAGGGCACTCCGAGCTCCCTGCCAGGGACAGGAGCACGGGCAGGTCCCTGCTCTGGGGACCTGGATGTTGTTGACAGGGATATCTGACAGTTAGCACCAGTGTGAGCAAGGATCTGAATCACCTCTGGGCTTTCTAGCAGCTGCAAACCACCACTCACTGCTCTCACACCACGATGTATTTAATATTGTCACACTTCCCTTCCCAGCTTCACTTTGGGTTGCTGCTTTCCTTTCCAAAGGACCAAAATCCCAAAGAAAAGCGTATTTCAGTGAACCAGGATGAGGTTCAGTGCTGGTTGAAGTCCTGGCTGGGCTCTCCTTTAACCAGGCAGCTCCTGCTGCAGTGCCCAGCCCTGTCCCACAGCCAGAGAAAGCTCTGTGCAGCCCCCGAGGATTCCCAAAGGATCAGGAGCCACCCCCCCTCCCACCTCTGCTGCAATTCCACACACAGAACGGCAAAAAACCATCAAAACCATCCCAGCCACCAGGGCTGCCTGGAGTTAGTGAGAGTTGTGCTTTAGCTGAGAGCTCCTGGAGGTGTTTTTGGGGTGCAGGGACCACCAGAGGCACTTCCAGGCTCTGGCACAGAGCCCCAGTGGGAGAGGGGCCAGGGCTGCTCACACCTCCCCAGGGCTGCTGGGAGCACCAGGCACCCGAATTCGTGTCATGGGAAAATTAATTGGGATCAGGGCAACTGTGGTGGGTAATGAATCCACTCTCTGGAGAAGCATCTAAAATAAACTGTCCCCCAAAAGAATCTGCAGTTTTCAGTGGATGTGTGATGTGAAAGAGCTATAAAGTCACTTCCTCACTGGATTTTTTTGAAGGAGATAGAGAATACTCTGGGCTAGCCACACCAGCTTATTTCCTAAACATATATAATTTGATTACATTTCATTTTCACACTTCTTCCTCCATTTCAGGCCCTTTTTACAAAAGAGTAATTTCTATAATATTCATGTAACTGCCTCCACCCAGAACATCAACTGCTCTGGAGGCAATTCGTGACCAAGAACCGTTGTTCTAAAAAGAAAACATGTTTTATCTAAAGAAGTACACTTAAAAAGCAAAAGTGTTTGATCCTCATCTTCCAAACCTTTGATAGCATTTTGTGCTTCAGGGAAACACTTTGACCTGCTCTGTTGTTTTTTTTTTTTAAGGTGTGCAAAGCAAAATGAAACCCCCAAGCAGAACAGAACAGAGCTCAAACCACCCACAATTTTAGATCTAGTTCCTTCCATACAGAATCCAGCTTTGGGTTGGAACAGACCCCTGGAGATCCAATCCAACCCTCTGCCAAGGGGGGTCTCCTGACAGCTCCTTCTCCACCAAAACCCACCCACGAGGGACACCAGTGCAGCCTGTCCCATCCCCGCTCAGCACAGCCCATTTTGGGGGATTTTTTTCTTTTCCCATCCCATTGGAAGCATTCCCACATCAGCAGCACCCCCTGAGGCAGCAGGGATGCTGTGCCCAGGGCTCAGAGTGCCCCGTGCAGGAGCTGACAGAACACTGTGATACCTTTAGCCAACAGAGCGAGAGGCCTTTTGACTATAAATAGTTGTTTTTCAGCAAGGGGGCACTTTTGGGTCTTAGCTATTTTTCTGGCTATTGTACAGTTATTTAAAAAATACTGAAGGTGTTTATAAGGCAGGTCTGGGACCTACAGGGCTAAGGATATTGAGAAGTAAAAGACAGTAGCAGATACTTGAGTATTCTATTTTCTATATGGGAGCCCTGGAGACCTGGGCTGACTTTGAAGTTTTTTTAGCAATCAAGTTTTATTGTCAAATTAAATCTTCATTAATAAAAAAAGCAACCACAGAAACAGCCTCCACACCCAAGCATATTTTAAAATGCCATCTTATTTCATGGAATTACAAAAAAAAAAAAAAAAAAAAAAAAAAAGTGAGGCTTTTTTCCATCCTCCCACCCCCTTCTTCTTTATTTTAGTTTTGCTCAAAAACTCAAAGGCCTTTTCCAGCAAAAAAGCTTTTACATGTTGTAAGAATTTTGTGTATGCAAAGACAGAATGGGGACCTCAGAATCTGCCAGTTGAGTGGTAATAGCCACCCCTGGAGAAAAGGGCAAGAGCAAAAAGCAAAAACAGATGCTTAGTTTTATGTACTTTTCTACTTGCATCTCTTCCACCCGTAGTGCAACTCCATGTCAGACCCTCGTATAACCTGTACAAAATGAAACAATGTACATAACAAATAAAATTATTTATTTTATGTGTATTTTTAGCTTAACTGTAAACTAAAAAAAAAAAAAAACAAATAAAAAGCATTTAATTTTTTTCCCAAAAATGTAAGCCTATTGAAAAATCAAGGTGTTTCTACCTTTTCAGATGTAACATTTCCAGCTGCCTATTGATAATAAACATTTATGAACAGCAACAGATCTGACATTTTAGAGTTTTTTAAAAAACAAGTTCAGCACAGACTTCTCAAGGGCTGTCAGTGGTCAGAGGAGCACTTAAGGGCTCTGATTCTATGGAGACTTTCTTGGTGTTTCAATAAAAAGACACCTCAGAGTCCTGCTTACCTCCAGTGAAGCTGGCCACCCAAATTTGAGCAAGAACTAAACACCTGGCTGGGGAAAAAAAAAAAAAAAAACAACAAAACCCAAACAACAAAACAACCCCAAAATATTCATTATAATTTGGCTACAACAGAAAATAGCAACCCACTAGAAGTGTTGGTAAATAAAATTCACCACATGAATACAATTACTCCTGCACAGAAAAGCCTAAGTAAGTGTAATTTCATTTTAATTTACTCCCCAAAGATATTCTCCACCAGCACAACTGCAATGGCCACGGAATAAGCAATATAGCTAATAGTGTAAGGGAGTCATTAAGCAACAACTTATAACTGTATCAACATAATTTGCTTATGGAAAGCTGTCCTCCAGCAAATCTCATTAAAGTCCTGGAGATACATTTCAGAAGGTTTCCATCTCTGACCAGAGGCTTTTGGTCAAGCTTCCAGTAAAACCAGAGTTTCCACAAGTTACACCACAGCAATATCCCTTCCCTTGGAATGCAGAAGGTTCCTGCACAAGGGAGGAAATGTGGACACACAAATTTACACTGACCATGGCAAAAGATGTACAAAATCCAGGACCACAGGGATCCACAGTCGCAGAAATTGAAATAGTCACACACCAAAAAAAAAGGCTACACCAGTTTTTTTTTGTTTTGTTTTGGTGGTTTTTTTTTAATAGAGAAGGAGTTTTTGCAGTTGGATGTGCACATCAGAAAGCCAAAAGTTGCAAGTTAAAGGCACTGTGAATCTCCAGTTGTGGTCCTTATTCCAGAAACAGGGACTGAACTTTACCTGGCTGGGATTTCCACCCCCTCCTTGTCCCTGCAAAGCCAGGGAGTGACTCAGTACAATACTCTTACTTGCACTTCCTGAAAAGTTACACAAATCACACATTCACATAATCACCACAAGCATCAAAATAAACATATTTTGCTTTCAACTATAACATATTTAAAAAGTACTGATTTAAACAGAGTTAGAAACTACATGTCTACAATTGATTGGAAAATGAAAACAGGCAGGGTATAGAAAACAATACAAAAAGGAAAGGATAGAGGGAGTTGGATGGTCCATCAGTTTTATCATTAGGGGATATTCCACTTTCTCTTAAAAGTCAATTTTCCCTAACCCAGCAAAATTAAACCCTCATCACAGCTGTGAGCACAGACTGACCCTTACCTTGGGTCACAAGCACCCCAAAGCTTGTGGCAAAATGCTCAGCTGCTCCAGGGAAGGCAAGATTTAGCATCTGCAATAAAAGTATTGCCATAAACAGAGCCCAAGAGAGAAAAACACCCTGCCAGGGCTCAGGCACCTGTCCTGGGGTGGCAGATCACCCCACTGGAGGGAGGACTGGGCTGCAGTCAGTGCCTGGAATGTGCTCTGAGCCTGTGGCTGAGCTGTTTCCTATGTGCTGCAGCCCAGCTGACTGTGAAATCTGGTAAGCAGCAGTTACTAGGAACTTCTAGAGACAGGCCTGCCCTGCAAAATTTAATTTCTGGTCTTATTTCAAAGCTATAGTCCTGGTTCAATGGTTTTATCTTCCTCCCTTATGAAAAAAGCAGTTATTTGGAATTCTGGGTATTTTTTTTTTGAGTATCTTCCATATATAATGCAGCCTTTTGATGGTGTTATTTTATACAAGAAAAGGTATCCCAGCAGCACTGCTGAGAGAAATGGAACCTAGGAGTGAAATAAAAAAAAAACCAACAACAACTGAGCTAGAAAACAAACTTTCTGTAGGAATTGGTTTGGTTATGTGAGCAAGGGGAAAACAGGAGCCTCAGCAGGGGACAGCCCAGTGGTGCTGGAGGTGGGACCAGCATGGGCTCTCTGCAGTATTGATCATTTCTTCAATCACAGGCGGATTGGGCAGTGCCATCAGAGCAATCAGTGGCTGGCAGAGCAGGACTGGTGCTGCCCTGGGGTGACACAGGTGACAGCTCTGCAGACACCAGTGTGGGACGGGGTGTGCAGCGAGGGGTGCTGAGATAGCAGAGCCAACAGAGTCACTCTGGAGCCTGGCAGCACACACAGCTCCTGTGGCAGCACAGCCTGCAGCCCTTCACACACAAACCTGAGTCACCCAAAGCACCAAAGCCAGGGCTGGTCGCTGCTTTGGCCATCCTGCAGGTTCAGACCAATCTCAGATTTGTTCAGGATGGAGAAGATCTCCAAGACTGAGTGCTCCCCACTTTGTCACCCAGCCCAGAGCACTGAGTGCCACAGCCAGCTGTTCATTCCCTGGACACCTCTAGGGATGAGGACTCCACACCTCCCTGGGCAGCCCCTTCCACAATGAAACTTTTCCATGAGGAATTGTCCCTGGTGTGGAGCCTGAGCCTCCCCTGGCACAGCTCGAGCCCTGTCCTTAGCAGGAAGGAGAGGCTCCATGGTGCTGCCAGTGCACAGAGCCTGCACAGCCTTCAGGTGTTAACTCAATCTGAGCCTCTGCCTTTCATCTATAAAAACACACTGAAGGAAAGGAAGTGGAAAGCATGACTAGTGAAAATTTAGCTGAACTCTTCTATTATCCCTTTTCAAGGCTGAAAAGGCATCCACAGAAAAATAAACAACAAAAAAACCCCTACATTCCAGCATCAGATCTTTGCTTTAAAAATTGACTGTTAGGCAACATGATTCAAGAAGTCCAATAAAAAACAAAAAATTTAAAAACATTGATCTGCAGAAAAAAATAATTCCAGATAGAAATCAATACTCATCGATTTTTTCATTCTTCTAACTAAAGATAAAATATGGTTATGGCTTCAAACTATAACCCAATATCCCCATTTGCAGCAATTCTGCTGGGCATAAAAGAGCATTGGTCTGGTACCAAACTGTAACAGCAATCATCAAGCTAAAATAATCACACTAAAGCACGTGCCAAAGAGGCCTGGAAAAGCACCAGACTGACAGTGGGTTATTCACAAAAGGAAAGACCCTGAGCCCACATCCTGGAACATGCATAAACCCCCAACAAAAAAATCCTAAACCTCTCAAACCAAGCCCCAGCCCAGGTGTAATTTGGATGTGAATTATCCCGATTAGCCCCAAACCCAGGGAAGTTGTCAGCCCAGGGATGCTGCAAGCAGAGCTGGCAAAGCCCAGCTGAGGAAAGGGCAGAAGCACACAGCAGGTCAGCTGGGCTTCAGGCAGAGCTGTGCCTTTTTTGGCAGCTGTTTCAGAAAAGTGCTGCAGAGCTGTTGCACTGCAACACAATTCTGGGAAACAGAAATGAAATTAAAGACTCCAGCAATCACTTAAATTTCTGTGCCATTCTGAGCTCTTTTGCTGTTAATAAAGAGAATTTCCTATCCATGGACAGCATTTATCAGTGCCAGGACACACTGCTACCTGCCCCCCACAGTCCCTGCTTGTTAGTTCAAAAAGCTGATTTTGAGGCTTAAAAGCCCTGGAAAAAATACATAAAACAACACACAGAGGTACCTCTGTATATCAAATCCATAAATAAGTTAACTGGCCACATATGACCTGTTTTTTATATCAATTAAAGTAATTTTCATGTATATCAAAATGGCCAGTAAGGCCAAAATAGCCATGGCTAATGGTGAATAATCCAGGTCCTAGATGGGTAAGCAAAACCAAAAAACCCAGGAGAATTCTAGCAGAATTATCAGCTTTTCCAAGTGGAGAGTAAAATAAAAAAAGCTGGCTTCCAGGGACAGACTAATGCCAGAAGACAAAGCACCAACAGTGTGCTGTGATAACCGTGTGTGTAGAAAAGAGCAAGGCTGTCTCAGTGAGAGAGGAAGAAAGGAGGCAAAATTCACAGCTAAAGCCTGGAAGGGAAAGATATTCCTTTCCTTTCAGAGCTTGACAGAAACTGCTTGGGATATGATAGATTGAAAGCCACTCCATGACTCCAGCATGGAGACTGTACTTAGGTAAGTGCCACTTTAAATTCCTTAAAATAAATCACAGGCTTTACTAGTTCCTTTAAGAGGTTAGGCTAGTGAATGCTATTTCAGAGGAAAAGAAAAAAAAAACCTCATGGTATTTTCTCTAAAAAACATCTATGCAAGTCAAGTGCTCCTCCAGAGGCAAACACAAAGGCCACCCATTATTTCATAAACAATTTTGTATAAATGTTTTGTTTTAAAAACAGCACAGAACCTCAAAATCAAATCAGCTATTCAGGGGTCATTTCCATCTCACTTTGACTTTTTACCTGGCTGCTCCACCTTGAAAAGCCATTATTAAATTGCCAAATTAAATTACAGCAATTAGAAATTGCAGTAGGCAAACTAAAAGCTGAGCTTGCAGCCCTCCCCCTATGGAGTTACATTATCAACTCCAACAAGTGCTGCATGAATTTAAGACAAAAATGTAAAAAGTCACTTTTTCCTACTATGGTTTTGCTTCCAGAGTTATTAAAAAGGGATACCAAAGGAAATACAGTTTTTCCCTCTCCCAGTCCTGCACTTAATCCCCTTTTCACCACCACCTAGTTATAGAGAAAGGAAAAATATTTATTAAAAAATCACCACCAGTAAAATGGGCCAATAGAGTTGATTTAAATTGTGTAGAATGCTATTTGAGGGCAAAGCATGTTGTGCCTGAGCTTAAAGAGGAAAAGATGCAGTTACCAGGAATTATTCTGCTTCCATTTCCATGCAGCTTTTCAAAACCAGCTTTTGCTGCTTTCTCACAGAAGGGTAGAACAGCCTTGTCCCACACAAGCACATTGCTTCAGTCCAGACTGTGGACAGGTATTGTCAGGAACAATACCTGCCAGTGATAAATGACCACTCATTTTCAGGTGTTCAATGCTTTTATTTTGTGTTGTCAGTGCAACTTTACCACCACAGCCACCACCGTATGTGCAAAAGCTTTCACAAGACAAATCTTACAAATATACAACAATATACAACAGATCAAAACATTATTCTTACACTTTCCACAGCCATGAAACTTCCACACCATAAAGTCAGACAGAAGAAATACAGCTATTACAAATATGTGACCACTAGAGGCAAAGCAGCTTTGTTTTGCAAAACCTGAGAAACTCGACTTATTTTAAACATTATCCCCCTCTAATGACCCTGTGCCCAGTGTTTACCTGAGTTGTGATGGCAGTGGTTCAGTGCTTCAGCAAGAACCAGGTGTTTAAGTGTTCAGTGCAAGCCCCCAGAGATACACAACATGCCTTTAGTCACAGCATGCTTTTTCACAAACGTCCTCTACTCACATCCAAGCTGCTCCCTGCACTACAGTACTTCTCTCCTATGCTTTCCTAATCAACTAAAGCAACATCTTGTCATCTATCAGTAGCAGAAACCTAAAGAGAAACATGAAATTTGAACACAGTTTGAGCAACTGACTCAACTCTCCAAGAGAGGATAACACTTACAGAACAGTATTTAACAAGAGCTGGCAAACAAGAAATGGGAAGCCAAGAAGGAGCCTCCAGCTCCCAGATTTACATTCCCTGAGGTGCATCAGGAGGTGCAGGGTTAGGGGAGGCTATGTAGCCCACCTGGGGCAGTGCTCCTGAGCTCCCAGCCTTAGCCACAGGTGGGGAATTTCCATGGGGAGGATTTACTGGATGCCAGGTCCCAATGTAGCGGTAGGCAGGAACCACAGAGTCAAAGCCAGGCAGATGCTGCTGGCTGAAGGGGTCTGACACCACTGGGTAATACACCGGCCCATAGGACAGGGGTGGAGGCTCTGTGCTTTGGAAGTTACCTTAAAAAAACAGAACAAAAAGCACATTCACACACTTCAGCCACACTGATGGCCTTTTTATGCAGGCTTTGGTGAGCATGAGCACAGCATTGCTCAAATACAAACCATTTGCTGATGCCTCCAAGGGAACCTGGTGGACCTCAGCTTGCCCAGCATCAGGGAAGAGCTGAGGCACTGACTGATCCAGGACAGGAGCTGGCTCAGCATATGCTGGGTAAACTTCCACTGGAGAGGGAGGCAGCACTGGCTGCACGTACATCATGGAAGGCCAGCAGCTCTGATGGCAATACTTGCAGGAAAGGAAAAACATGGTCACAGCCACACACTCTCCAGCCCTCCTCCAAACCACTGCTACCTTCAGATCTAAAGTTAGGAAAAAGTGAAGTTTTTTTCCTCTCTAGCCCTTTAAGACATATAAAGCAAACAAAAAACCCATCAAACCAACACAGCCTACAAGGAAAGACACCTGCAGCAACAGCCACACTGCTGTTGTGTCCAAGTCTTTACAAAGAAAGAAGATTCCAACTTATCTTTGTCATACACAGAGATTTTCCCCATTTCTTCAGTTGAAGGAGCTCACATTGCTCTTTCTACCTCTCTGAGCAGCAGCACTGACACTGTACTTAACTACTGCTACAGAGAATGCTTCAGCAGAGCAGATTTCCAGAACACAGAGAAATTGTGCTAACCAGCCTGAATTCAGCTGCACAAGTCCTAGGAGACTCCATCCACGCATCTCTAAGTGGTCTTTGATGTCTTACTTAAGTACACAAATTCTCTTAAGAATGGCTCAAGTTCTTCTCTTCATGGAAAGGCTATTTATCCACCATCAAAATACAAAGAAAAAACCCCCAAAACCCAAAGAAACCTAAAAGTAAAACTAAAAAACCACCACTACAACCCACAGTAAAACATTTAATATGGTGTACTTCACATTTTGAGGTAGATCTTCACTTCCTGAGCTAGACTTTATTCTCCACCAAGAAAGTCTATCCATATTAATAGTCCAGTGCACAGAATGCACACTTAGGACACTTGAAAGGTTTGAATACATCAGTACATTTGTCAGGAAAACCAGCAGTTTTTACAGGCAATTTACTATACTCATTTTAAAAGCACTTACTTGCAATCCCATATTAAAATAATACCGCAAAACCTTTGTATCTGAAATTAAAGGATAGAACATTAAAGATTAGAGGAATATAAACCAAGAAGGAAAAGCAACTTGCATTAAGAACATTTTATTTGAAGTTATTCTTACTTAATGAGTAACAGTATTTCAGCACTACCGTTTCTTTAAAATTTCAAGGGTAAATAATGTCTCTTGAATATAAATAGTTGTTAAACTAGTTTTACCTTTTAAACTAAATCCAGTTTGATGTTTGGGCAATGGCAGAACATTTGCCTGGCCAATTAATTATTTATTTCACTGACTACCTTAGCTTTAGTTTTGGTTTATTCATCTTGATTACTCAAGTGATAACTCAGGTTTTTTTACAAAATAATCAAAAAGTTATCTAAGCAACTAGGACTTAACACAGAGCTTCTCACCCCATTTTCAGGCCCCAAAGCTGTTATATTAAGCTCAGTGGAGTCAGGAATAAGGAATATATTCCTATATCACAATGGTACTCAGTTCCCTGCTTTCTTGCAGAGTCTTTTACGTCTGTCTTCCCTGTACTGAATAATTTGTCCCCAGCCAAGTAAAGTGACATGCTGAGAAATAGTCCCAGGTGTGTGAAGGGACTTTGAAACCTCTCTCCAAAAGCAACAGGGTTTTGAACTTGGAAACACATTTCCAACTGGCCAAAAGCTGTGAAGCAGCTTTAAACCTTTAAAAATGACCCACTGAAAGGAGAAGAAAAAAGAAAAAAAAAAAAAAAGGACAGTGTGTTTAATCCCATGATGATGCAGTTCTGGAACTGAGCATGAGAAAAGCTGATTCCTTAGATTTCAATACAGATTTGCTTTGAAGGAAGAGCAAGTGACCTATTCCACAGCACAAACTTTGAGCTCCCAGCTGTACTAAAGCCAAGGGAAAGAAGGGAGACAACTCAAAAGGAATTGTCTAGGGATTCTACTCAGTAACACCTCCAGAGCTACCGTGTTCCATCTTCACAAACACCCACCCTGCCCTAGACCAGGCTCCACAGTGCTTCCCTGCCCACCCATCTCCCACACTTACCCAGCCCTGCCCTCTGTGGCACTTTGTGTTGCGTTTTGCTGCAGAAAGGCAAAAGCATCAGCAAACCACACCAATTTTAAAATGCATGTGGATTTATTCCTCTGTCACTGCTGCCAATTCTCAATTCTTTTACTGCTCAGCCCATCTACCAGGGCAACAATCCATGCAGCTGTTTCAGGAAATGCACACAGATCCTTCCTTACTTAGTCCTGGAAGTATTGGTGGTCTGGCTGTAACACTGACCACAGTCAGTGAAATAGTAAAAATAACTCAAAGGCTTACACACAAGTGCAAACTTTTTAGTGTCTAACTGAAAATCCATCTGTATCTGGAAAAAGTTGGGTGTCTTTTTAAAAACCCAATTTTGTTCTTCAATTGTTTATGCAAATCTATGCAAAGCAAGCATAAGAGCTGAATGAAACAGCTGCTTCCATAGCAGCAGTAACAGTACAAAGAACTGCTGGGAGGCTGAAGCAACAAACCAACACTGGAAACACTGACACATGTGGAATGATGGAAAAGAAGCCAGTACAGTAGGAGACCGGTTTTTGTTTAGAGTGCTCTTTTAGATGTTGGGAAATCAAGTCCATCTTCAATAAAACTTGTTGCTTATAAAGCAACAGCTAAGCCAAAAAAAGTTATCCATTCTGATATGAAAATATAAAGACTACACTGATGCCTGATAAAAATCTAATCTCATGATAATAGAGTTTTTACTGTGCTGTTGGGAAGCTCTGGCCAGTACTCAACACTGTGTTTCTGGAACACAGCAATTTCAAGCAGGCTTTTATCAACAGCTCCTTCAAATACACAGGATCAGGCAAGGGCAGGACACCTGAGGTTAATAAATACACTTGGCAAGTCCTAAATGCCATTAAAACAAGACACAAGATGCTATGAAAACTGGAATAAACACAGATACAAGTAATGCTAGAGCCCACAGCTGGATTTCCTTCCAGGTCCAGGACTTCAGTCTGCTGGCAAGTTCTGCTCCCCATCTACACCAGGCCTAGTGTCTTTAGCAAAGCACACAGAACTCCAGATCAAGCACACCCACATTCTTCACCCTGCCCAATTCCAAACCTGCTGTGTTTCTTAACTTAAAGGCCATATAGATTATACTCCAGCAGTGTTAACATAAATGCTACATGCACTATTGTTAACCAGCAGCCTTTAAAATTCCTGCAGTCTGTGCCAAGAAGGACAGGACCAATTTGATGTGGATTGACTCAGCTGTAGAGTTCCAGGCAAGGTCTGGAGAGGTTATTAATCCACATCTGCTCCAGATTCTTGTCAGCACACTTCACACTCCATTCTCCCAAGTGGGGAAAGCCTCAGTTAAGGGCATTCAACTAAAGCTGGAAAGCAGGAACTCTGTGTGCATGGGATCAGTGATGCACCACAGCAGGGAACGGAACCAGAACAGCCAAGATTAACAAATCTTGGATTTGAGGGACCAGGTGAGCCAGCAGAATAACTGCAGAGCACAGCAGCAGCGTGAAAGCAGCAGGCTTGGTCTGTGCACTCACTGCTCAACGTGGACCTTAGACACTGTCCCAGCTGATGGCAGTGTGTGACAAAGCTACACACCAAGGAACAAGCTGACCAGACACTTCAGCCCTGGTTTGTAATACCACAGAATTACAGCGTAGAACCATAAAGGAAAACTACCAAAATATCCCACTGAACTGTGCAACAGCATAACTTATAAACAACAGCATAACTTATAAATACACTGTGTATAAAAACACAATTCTTATTCTAATCAGTTATCAGAAAGGTGATTACTCTGCCACAAAAAAGTATGATACAGGCCAAGCACCCTCTCTCTGGGCTTTCATTTATTTAAGGTGCTGTCTAGAGCTGCAATAATCATATATTTGAGTCAGACACAAACTTTCTGTTCAAAACTGGGAATGAAAATGCTTTAGCATAAGTATCTATAATATTATTTCTCATTCCCTGCAAGTGGCAGAGAGCCATTACTTTTCACTATGTATTCTCACTTGGTGCTCTGTTAAGCTTCCAAGGAGAGCGCAAGTCAGAAGTGTGCTGGAGAGCAGCAGGAGTAAAAATACAAAACACAATCATTACCTCGAGGTAAATCACTGCCGCTGGGATCACAAGAGTAAGCTGGAAGAACAGCACTGGCTTCTCCCACCTCACTCACGGGGGGAAGAGGAGCTGAATAAATTGGGAATGGCACTGAAGAAACTGCTACAATTGGAAGGAAACAAATGTCACCCAAAAAGTCAACTTTGCCATGGTACATCAAATATGTAAGGTATTAACAAGGTATTATTAAGGCTCTAACAAAATTCTATTCAGCAGTCACTTTGAAAGAAGAAATCACTAGTACAGAAGAAATTTTAAAACTAGATGGGAAGGTTTCAATCTCTCAAGCCTTAACTGCACTTTTATCTGCAAGCAGTATATCCCAGTTAAAGGGAAAAAAAGTATTTTTCAATAACTTCTTAATATTAAAAGGCAGGCCAGACTTAGTTATGTAAGAGAACAAAAGGGATCAGATTAATAAGTTAAAGTCCTCAAAAGTTTGACAGTAAGCCCACAAAAACAAGGGAAGGTTTGAAACGCATCAGGACAAAAGTATTCTGGGCATTCAACTGTTAATTATCCTTTTAGGTGGCCCACAGCTCTAACACAGCAGCAGGTTGGCACCAGTGAGCAGACAGCTTTGAGAACCATGCTGACTAAACTCTCATGCAGAGCAGAAAAAAAAGATAAAAGTGAGACAGAACTGAGCAGAATGGAAGGTGGAGATTTTTTAGATGCTAAATAAAAAGTTATAGAAGACAGGAGAAATGCTCTTTGCAAGAAGGAAAACAGAATTTTTTCCTAACTGCCATTTTCCAAGAGCAAAGCAGGTAGAACACCTAAGGTGGAGAGTGCACCCTGTAACTGCCCACAGACCTGATCTCCTTACAGAGGAAACCAAGGGTCACAAAAATAAACTGGAACAGCCCAGCCAGTGACTTTCCTGGAAGTGATTGTGTTCTAGAGGCTTTTCCTCAAGTCAAGAGGAAAATTAGCTGTAGGAAAGGGGAGGTGAAGGGAGCCACACTCAACTTCTGCCTTCTGAAAAGAATTTTCTAGCAAACACTTGGCATTAAGAGTTAAAGGTGGCAGGGGGGGGAACCCAAAGCAGAGACCTCCAATTCCCACAAAAATTCAGGGGCAACAGCCCCTTCAAAACAAGAAGCCAGCAGCCAAGTTACAACTATGTAACTTTAAAACAAAGCAAGTGACACTTTTTTTTTAAGCCTATAAACACTTGTTCTGGATGGGGGAGAGAAAGGGAGGGGAAAATATAACTGAAAACTTGGAAACCCAAGTCCACAGCTGCAGTCTGTACACTCTACCTGGCCTCCCCACAGAAAAGGGAGATACTATGACAGGCTGCACTGCTGTTTGTGGGGGAGGTGCTGTTATGACACTGGCTGGAGTGGAGGCAGCAGAATTTGAAGAGAGACCTGTAGCTGGAGCATTGTAAACATCTGTGGAGGTGGAAACTGTTGCAGAGTTCACCAACACCTGGAAAAGAGTCAAGAGTCTGCCTCTGCAATTGGCTTTGACAAAGACTATGAAAAATACCACACACTTCAAAAATTCTCACTTCACACAAATCCATCTTGTAAATCCTAGCTGTAAAGGCACTAACTATCCAAACTCTGTAAAAATTGGCTTGAAAATCCAGTTTAGAGTTGCAGACACCTGCAAGGCATCTTCTGTTTTGTTTGTATTTGCAGGAATTGCATTCTCTGCTGCCAGAGGCTGCGAGGGGTCCCCAGAACCTGTCAGAGTGGTTATCTCTCTACAGGGCCACCACAATGAAGTGTGAGATACAGTTCAGAGTACCAGACACTACCTTCTGGGGATAGCTGTAGGAAGCCACTTCATCTGGAGGTGACACCGGGACTGGCCCTTCTTCCTGAAGGGATTCCAAAGCAAAGCACGGTCCATTTCAGCGGCAAAGAAGCCACAAGGCATATACACCATGGCCCTGTTTTTATTTTTCAATTTATGGACTGTACACCAAGTGTCTTTTGTAGCTCAATTGAACACAGTTTTATTGTGGCATGCTCAGGACTGCTTTCACACCCACTGTGGAGCAGCAGGTGACTAAATATTTTGTTTCAAATTAAAAAAATAAAAATTCCAATCTAAGTTCTACTACAGATGAGATCTCTCCAGTCCCAACAAGGAGGACTAAGATTAACTGGAATATAACCTGAAGAGTGGCCCGATAAAAGCAAGTTCTGTCTGGAAAGAGAAGGAAATACACACTATCCCTTTGCAGAGGGAAAGATGGAAAATCATTAATGTATCCAGCACAATTCAGACTGCACTTGCAGACTCAGATTAAAACCTCACCATTCAGGCAGGAAAAGGATACTGAATATATAAAGGAATGCTGATTTCATTTCTTTTATTAAGTCTCTAGCCTACTATGCATCTAAGGACAGTCTCCATGAATGCCACACACCTCAAAGATCTCAAATCTGAACAGTCTTTGAGTAAAACTTACCAAGTTTGCTGTAGGTTCTGCTGAACTAAACACTGTTGCAGTTTCACAGCTGGGATCTGGAGGAATAGGCAAAATTAATTGAAAAGAGCTGCATTAAATCTAATACTTCAGAAACATAAAAAGATCATAATTGAGTGTATTACATTCACCAAATATTCTATCAGTAAAGACTTAAACTTTTACTTACCTGAAGGCACATATATATATTCCTCATGAAATTTCCCTACAAGGGAAAGAACAGAAGTTTTGATTCGGGGGGAAAAAAGGGGAAGGCAAAAAAGCTTAAAGCTGGAGTTACTGCAATTACATTTCAGTGCGTCCACTAATAACCTGCTTTCAGTATTATCTCACTGTGTTTTTTAGGACATGTAAGGAACCTACTTTTGACAATGAAAAGCACATTGACAATCTCATTAAACATTTTTTTTTGCCTATTAATCCTTTAAGAACTCACCATTTTCACTTGTTTCTTCCTCTTCCTCTAAGGCACTCAGGGTCTGCTTGTTAGATGGAACAGAGTTTGGACTTCTTGCTACCCAAAATGCTCCTGGACCATGGACAATGGGAGCAGGGCTATGGTTGCTCTGAAAAGCAAAGTCAGAGACAGACATTTAAAACTAATTTAAAACCTTTACATGCTCTAGAGACAGACACACAAAAACAGGATGGCAGACCCAGCTTGCTGCAACCAAAGCTTACTAGAAGCATCATCTGTGTGCCCATTCCAATGCAACAAACATTCCCTTCCTTTTCCTGCTGTTCTGCCTTGCACACTTAAGGCAATTCAGAAGCTTCGCCATTGTCCTATGTCACACAGTCAAGCTGTGCCCTCCCAGAACTCAGCCAGCTTTATCCAAACTCCAACAAAGCTGCAAAGGAGGGAGCAGATCCCAGACAAGGCTGCTACCCCAGCGTGCATCAATGCTCATTCTAGAGCATTCCCCCCACACCAGCAGCAGATCAGTTCATCCAAACACTGATCATCATGGAGAAAGATCATCTTCAGTCACAACCAGTGGAACCAGAAGGTGGCTGCTGGCACAGACAGCAGTATCTGCACTAGGCTGACCCACACATGCAGCCCTGGCTGTTTCAGAGAGCAGCACACACCCAGGCTGCCCACAGAACTCCTTCAGTTTTTTACATGCCCTTTGCTGCTGCACTGAAACCAATCTTTAGCTGCACCCCAATTTAAAAGATTAGTTCTCTGAAGGAGGAATATGGGATTGAGATGCTCAAGTAAAAGGCTGATTCACTCTTGTGATGGCTAAGGTGACACTCAAAAACTCTCCTCAGAAGACACTGGTGACCATGAGATCGATAAAATGCTCAGAGAAGCTTGAAAGATTTCCAAGGTTGAAGCAGAGGTGGTAAGTCAGAAGATTCTCCCACCAGGCCTCTAGCAGCATGGCAGAGTCCTCTGTGAGATGCATCTTTCCCCAGGAAATGTCACATTCCTTTACTAAACAAGACAAGGAAGAGACAGAGAAAAAGCTTTGGCATTGACAATAACAAAGTCACTGAATGAACATGAAAACCTATTCATTAGGAGCTGCAGGCAAGTCTAGCAAAGGGGGAGAAAAAGCCACCAAGCTGTATGGATTTCATGTTGGAAAAAAGAAATTGCAGGAGAACGTGTCCTTATTCCTTGGCACTCTTGGAGGAAAAATCAGAGCAAAGATCTAGTACATCAGAGCAAAGAAAAAACTGGTGCTGAAACAGCCCTAAGCATATTCTTGCTCCCTCATTTAAATAAGAGTCTAACAATAGTTCAGTTCACTGCTTCAGCACAGCAAAAAAATCAAACATACCAGGTTGCTTTTGGGGTTTGTTTAATCTGCTTTCCTGTTCAGATACCTATGTATAAATTGATTTTCTTTTAGCACTCTCAGCTTTGGACTAGGTTTAGACTACAGATAAAGAAAAAAAAAGGCATTTTTAAGTTTAGGAATACACTTTGCCACTATACAACTCAACAAAAAGACTGCTTTAAGTCTAGGTTTGCAATTTTTTCCTGTTTCTGTAGCAGAAGAAATTGTGTCAGGAACAACATGTTAATCCAAAACGACATGACTACAAATTCATAGGGAAAAAAAAAAAAAAACCACCACCCAGGCTATCACTATCCAGTTTCTGAATCTTGGCTACCTAAATGATAAATTATAGTTCGGCAAACAAGTGAAAAGCTTTTTCCCACAATATTTAGAGCTAGGCAGACAGAGCACAGGAGGAAAAGACTTTTGTTTCGAAACGCAATAGAAAGGAGAAACACAATTATGTTTATGAAAATATGCTTAAAAGAAAACAAGTGTTGCTACTGAGGATACAAAGAAGGGAATATCTAGGAGAACTGAGGCTTCGAGCAGGTTTTACAGGAACTAGACAAATTCCAGTCTTCCATTGTCAAAAATGCATTCACTGCTAAACCTTACTCCAAGAATACCTAAACATACAGCAGGTTCTTTTGGTTAAGAATCACTGTGCATTTAGTTTCCCCCTCCTCCTCTCTCTCTGAAAGGCTTCAGCTTACCCTTTGTTCATAACTCACAGGCAGAGCAGGAAAAGCAGTGTCATCTCCCTCAATTTCACAGAGAGTTACAGTTTCTTCTGGCCCGCGGGGCTCCTCTGCAGCCCCGGCCACGAAGCCGTACTGGCACTCCTTGTTCACACAGGGCAGCGGGCGGCGGCTGCGGCTGTACGAGCTGCGGGAGCGAGGGAGGAGGTGAGCGAAGAGAGGAGGTGAGCAACCACCACCACCTGCACTGCTGCTCAGTTTTAACTCGGTTCTTTCTGCAGAGCCACCACGAAACCTGCTCTTTCACACTCTGCTGCAAACAGGCAATTCATGCCCAGCATCCTACCACCCAGTGGCTGCTAGAGCAATTTTTGGTGGAAAAGGTTTGCTGTCACTCATCAGGACAAGTTGTGGTAACTCTGACAGCCTCTCTTCCCTGGGCTGGAGTAGAATGCTATCTGAGGGTCAAGCATGTTGTGCCTCTCTATAAATCAGGCAGATCCCCTGAGTTTAAAGGGGGAAAATGCAACTACCAGAAGTGCCTCTCAGCTGTAGTTTTGCCTGAGAGGTGAAACTCTCTCCTAACCAGTCTACAGCAAGAGTGAACAGGAAACAAGTGGTCAGCTCAGGTTTTCAACGCTTCCTACCTCGGCATCCCGGAGTCCCGGTGCTGCCTGGGAGGGTTCTGCTGGTGATAGGGTTTGTAGGGTGCCATGCCTGCCCCTCCCTGGGAGCAGTGGATGGGAGGGAAGCGCCCCGAGGGAGCGCTGTGCTGCAGCCGGGGTGGCAGCACCGGCTGTCCCCTGCTGTAAGCCACAGCCATGAACACTTCCTTCCCACGGACTTTCTTGAGCATCCTCTTCCGTGTTTTCATATCCATTTCTGCAGTTTCCATTGAGGACAGAAAAGAGATTTACACCTTAAACCTGAGCTGTGGTCTCAAATGTTAACAAGAAGAATTAATATCCAAACCCACAGAGAAGAAAGCCAGTGGCCTATTCAGAAAAAGTGCATTGTAAATATGAAAGTACTTGATTCTTAAAGAATCAAGTAGGAATTCTACATGATACAAGCATCTGACATGGGGGTACCTTCCCAGCTTCAGCTGATTCAACCAGCATTCAGTGTTAAAACCTCTCTGTGCAGGCTACATTTATTCATAATAGCAAAAAACCTCACAAGTCCTCTAAATTAAACTGAACACATATTTAAGCAGGTGTCTGGTCCATCCATGCATCTCTGCTAATGCCAGGTCAGACAAGCTCTCTGGTTCACTGACATGTCTTTTAGATGGTTCTCAAGTGGTAAAGCTGTTCCAGGCAATTTTGAGCAACACTGAAATTCCTCTGTAATTCAATAGATTTGCTCTCTTGCAAAGCCAAATTCATCCCTGCCTGGAAGATAGCTTTCCATCAAACCCCTGCAGTGGCCAAGTTTTACCTCACAGGGTGACTTGAGTCTATTCCAATATCCAAAACCTGCTACAGTTATAACTCTCATGAGCAACTCCCCTACTTCCCCAGGGAAGAAATGCTTCTGGAAGCCTCGTACAAACCTATTCCTGAGAAGTGTCCTCCTGTTACTTTCTGATAAACTCCTCCTCTTCTGTTGTGAGCCATATTCCAAGCAAGGACAGGAGCCACTTGTGACACTGGCTTTAAGTTTGCCAAAGGAACTGTGTGCCTGCAGGAAGGACACTCACGTTAGCAGTGCCCCAGGGATACACTCTACACAACAACATAAGCTGAAGCAACACCAAGACAGAGGAAATAGCTTGTGAAAATAAAAAAAAAAAATCTGTCCTCTGGCACCACACACACATTACTGCTACTTGTTTAATATGAAAATGCAAGCTAGGCTTTAGTTTAAATACTATTTACTTTGCAGGTCAAGTCTCTCTCCCCCCTGCCTCCATTTGTGTGCCTCCAGAACTACACCTAAAAGCAGGAGACAACACAGAATTTTTGCAGGATGTTGTCAATCCCAGCTTTGGAGGAGGAAGAATGATTGAACAGCAAGGGGGAGAAAGTGATTAGATTCACCAGAAGTGCCAATTATTTCGTTGCTTGGGTACAACATAACTCCAGAGAAACCCAACAGCAGAAGGCAATTTGCTCCCTGTGAATTAAGCCCAAACTGTAAAGATTACTTTTATATTCCAGTGAAGGAAGAGCAGCAAGATTTTACAGAAAGCATTACAACGATTTTGGTAATTAGAAATCCAAGAATAAAACTAAAGCCCTCAACCAGAAAGAGTTTAAACTCGAAGTCATCACCAGACTGCTTACTTTTCTGCCAGCTCCTCAACAAACACAGTCAATGTGTTGCTATCCTGTCCGACTTCCTGGATGTGAGCATTGTAATACTTCTCTCCTGGTTCCAGACACACCTGGAGAGAGAACAAGGGAAGCTCTGAAAAAACTTTAACTGCATCAGAATATTGTCTACAAACCACTAATAGCAAAGGCTGCTCCCAGCCAGTCCTGTGTTACTGAACCTGCCCAGGAGTCTCAAATACTTCTTCAAAATGCAACCAAAATAAAGAGCGCTGTACTAACTTCAGAGAGGATAAGAAGAAATAAAATCAGTCTTGTGTGCAACTGAGGGACAAGATACCAGCTCCCTAACTTACTTTTATCCCCTGTGCCCAGCAGATAAGTGCCAAGGAAGACTGCTGCTTAAGAACCTGAGGAGAACAGAAGATAAAGTAGGAAAAGGAAAGCTCTGCTCAGTGAAAAACAAGTCACTGAGAGAATCATTAGCACTACCTTCAAGATTGATAAAAAAGAATACACCATCACTCCAGGTGAAATACAAAGAAAATTTATCTTACTTTCAGCATCTCCTGTCCAGATTATTCTACTCCTCCATTTTTAGCTCCTCCCTTTTTATTTTATAAAAATATTTTGCTACTTCACTGTTGAGAAAGATAAGACTATCCAGAATTGTTACTTAGCCCAAGTGAAAAATCCAAAGACAACTACATCAAAAGCACCCGCTGTGCATTTTGAGCTCTGCCTGGAACTTCCACACTCAGGGAATGTGTATGACTGGCTTACACAGAATCCCCAAAACTGCTCTTCTGTCAGACTACCAAGTTTAAAGGTAGATTTCAGAAAGAAATTACATTTAAAAGAACATCTACAGGGAAGAGAATGAGAAAAGCCTTAGAAAAATACTATGAATTCAGTCAAATGACTTCATGGTTTATCAGAGTCCATTTAAAATAGTTTTAACAGTTTACCATAACTGAGTCTCCTTTGAGTACTAACCTGACACTTATCTCCTAAATAGTACTGTCTCCCAGCAAACACCATGTAGTCAGTTTTTTGAAGCTCTAAAAAGAAATGAATAAATGAATAAACAGGGGGAAAAAAAAGCCTTTAAGCTCCTGTTGTTTCTTCACATATCCTGCAAGTACTTCATGATAGCAGCCAACTACAATTTATAGGCCAATTGAGTTAAATACTTCCTGTGCATACCTGAACATCCCCCATAGTAGCAGTGGAATAATTCAAGGTGCTCTTACAATACACCATAACCAGGCTAAGTCACATGAGACCAGCAACAGCCAGATAATGCAGCAAGCAGAACTGCTACAACACTGCAGCTTCTGTGGTGGCCCAGAGCTAATCCTGCATCTAATACACACCCTAAAATTAAGAATGTTGGACATCTCTTATCTTACCAGAGTCCCAATGGCACTTGGCAAACATGAAATGTCATCCAGGAAAAGCTAACATTGCCTAAAGTATTCTTGCTGTTAGATTTCAGCTTTTTTTACCTCTGTTCCTTGCCTGGCTTCTCTGCACGTCAGTATTCTACACAGATAATTGGTTACCACACTCTGTTCCAAGAATTTTAATGATCCTTATTACTGATTACGCTGTGGTGAAATGCTGAAGTTCTTCAGCATGCAAAGCACTTCGGGTCAGACATCAAGTATCACTTAAAAACTTATCTTTCTTGGTAAATTCTTGCTTTACAGATCAGCCACAGTGAATGCCAAAAAGCAGCCAACCTTTCCCAAGCCATGAGAACCATAAAATTCCTGCAGAATGTTCAAGCCCAGAAGGGCTGGGAGGCAGGAGAAAAACTCATCTGACAGATCTCAAATGCTAAATTTGAGAACTTCATTTTTATACAATCCTGAGGCCAAAATCGTGCTCTAAAAAGAAGTCTTTGCACACATGCTGCAACAAAAAACTCACATTTGAATGCTTTCCAATACAACAGAACGGCAACAGAGTTCTGTGCTCTGATATGAATCCTCCTATTTCCTGTGTACAGTCAATGAGTAGCAGAGATCAGATTTTTAGCAACCTTGTACCATTATACAGTATCAGAAGCTGGGTATTTCGTACTTTGAATGCCAGACAGGACACCAAGAACATGTCCTACCTACAGCTATTTGCTGGGTTCACCTGTGTCCTTCACATTGCAGCTGTGAAGAAACAGGTGACAGGACTCAAGATTCATAAATTTAATGATAACCACACTACAGGAAGAGTTTTTTGGCTTTTCCCTTTCCAAAAGATACCTTTTCTACTGTCCAGCCAAACATCAAACTCCACATTTCGATAGATGGTAGAGTCCAGTGCCTTTAGCACTTTATAAGGAACAGGCATCTTTGGAGGATTTTCTGGAGGCTAAAAACAGAATGGGAATGGAGCATTAACAAGCGCATTTAACGCGTTCAGCAGAGTCTCTATTCTGCCAGCATCTGTGCACCATTTAAAAAAGTACAGATGCTATTTTCCAAAATTTTCACTTCCACTGTATTTCCCTAAACACTAAAACTCAAGAGTATGAAAACACATCCAGGCACTCAGGTGCTGAGCAGATTGACTCTGGAAAGCAGAACAGGTAACACTTGGCATGTTCTGTACTCAAAATGAATCAAAGGAAGCCAACCAGACCAATGATGCCACAGCTTCAAAAGTAAGTAAGAATTTCAGTTATTGTATCTGAAAACTCTGTACAGTTTGTAGAAGTATTCTGAAGCAATTTATACTATGGTCAAGACAAAAGTGATCTAATTTAAGCCACATTCTGGGAAAAACAAACAAATTGGGAAACATCTGCTAAGCTCTATCCTTTGGGGGAAATAAAAATCAGCTAGAGAAGGACTAGAGAATTTCAGAAAGTAAAAGAGCCATTTCCAGTTTAAGAGAAACTCAAGGGCAGAACCAAAAGACAAGTAGATAGAAGAAATTAGCCACCCACTAACCAAAAATACATTTTTAGAAAGTGGTAAAGAGCATTTAGCCCTAACAAGGGTTACATCATACAACAGAAAATAAACCCCAAAAGCAAACCATAAGAATTTTTCCCTGAACTGCCAAACCTTTTGCTCTTCAATGCCTTGTTTGAACTTGGTTTCCTGTGGATTGTCAGTATCATTGCCTTCCCAGTCGCCCAGTCTAAAAAATTGAAAATAAAATTACAAAAGCTACAACACAATCTCTAGCCAGGATTAATATCACCAACTTTCAGACAACCTGTAAAAGCACCATGGTGCCATCAAGTGGCACATTTTGCCTTAAACACCAGCAAGGTGCAATGCAGTGCAGGACCAGCCTTTTCCAAGCTTTAAGAACTTGACCTTTGCTCGTTCCAATACCCATCCCTAATGAGGGCTACTGCTTGCATTAGGAAAGGATGAAGGTGATCTCACTGACTGAATTCTTGCACTGTCAAGGACAAAAAGACACTCTGTGCCAGGTACCATCAAACCAATGCTGTCTGCAAGCATTCATAGGCAGCTCTCAAGCCTTTCAGAGCTAGAGGCTTAGAAGAGTAATAAGTCTCTCATTAAAAAAATAATAAGAAAGCTCTAATAAATAAGGAGCAACTTTACTTACAAATAAGATGTCATTTTACAGGGTAACACACAACTATAACACAGCCTGCAGCAGAGGACAGTCAACTATGTGGCACTTCCCAGCTCCAAGGAAAGCACACTCTTCAATGATACACTTGAGCTTTGTGTTTGCCATAACATAGGAAAAGAACAGTTAATATTCAATAAAAATCCATAGAAGCTTGGAAAAGTTGTCCTCTGCAAGGTTTTTAAGGGTTTTTTTTTTGTTTTTTTTTTTGCTTCCCTCTTACCAGACCCCCTGCCCAGCATACTACCTCTTTTCTGATGGATTTCTGGGCACTTTTTCATGGAGACAACCAAAGTTTGCATCCTCACTTCCTACAGGAGCACTATTTCTGTTCTTCTTGGATCCACTTCGAAACACCTCAACTGCAGACCTTAATTCTTCCTCATCCATGCCAAACACATCTTTGTAGAGGATCTCATATAATACAGCTGAACAAATCAACACAAAGCTCAATAATATGAGATCTGTAAGAACTCCTGCAGTTTTCAAGGCAAGCAGATCTTCAGGTGTTATCTATTGTTATAAGGCTGTAGTAACATCAAATGCAGTTAAGGACAGGATCATAACGTAACTCAGTTGGGAATAAGGGACCTCTAAGTAATTTGGTCCAAAACCCACTTAACAGGTTAAAAAAATGAGTCTATGCATAAAAATGTGCAAGAAGTGAGCTTCCATCTCTCTTCTCCCCACCCCTGAAAATTGAAACAAACCCTGCCTCTAAACATGAAAACACACAATTCTCTTCCACAGAAAAATGATTTCAAGTTTACCCTGGCAAATAGCAGCATTTTCCTGAAATTGTTTTGTATACACAGAGTCATAATGGCCGCTACCGGAACAACACAGTAAAATCTGGGGAAATTAAAAAAAAAAAAAAAACAGTTTTAAGGCTGGAATGACATAATCCCATCAATTACAATGAAGTCAGTAAATTCTGATATCCTTTCATTCTATGCTTGACACCAATTCACCAAGAAAACAGTAAATAGTCTCAAGATAAACACGAAAAAGCTTAGCATCAGCTCAAAACTGAAATTTAGGTAAAGTCTCTAGGTAACTTTGTATCATAAAAAGAAAAAAAACCCATCTGTACATCCTGCTGCATTGAACATGAAATAGGAGTTTGTTTCCAAGACCACCATTTACTCAGAAGGCAAAATAAATGCAACCCATTGAAGGCAGCACCCTGAGACACACTATCCCCAGTGTCAAAGGCACAGTTCATCCTTCTTTGCCTGCAAGACTAGAAGAGCATTTACTTCTCTAGCCCTTAAACCCTTGCTGTTAAGAAGCAGAAGAGATGCTTTCTGCAACACATGCATTCACATATCATGTAAACACATGCCACCAAACTTCTGGGCACACAACCACAGCCAACTACAACGGGCAGAAGTGTTGAAGCAGCTGTCAGCAACGATGCTTCCCAGAAAACCAGCTCCCAGAAGGAGCCCAGATGCCAGGACTCTGAATTCTGGGTGCTCTGTGGATTCTGCCAACACAAGTTCTCCTCTTGTGGTGAGGAGGAGCAACACCAGAAGGAGCTGCTGCCCAAACTCACAGTGTAATGCCAGACAGCTGCCAACACTTAATGAGAGTTCTGGTGGGAAAGCCTTGAGCATTTAGACCACACTGTTTGATTTTTAAACTCAGCTAATTTTGGAATTAAATTAAGCTACACAGGAAACAGTGCAGATGAAGAAAGAAGCAGATGTAATGAAGACAGCAATGCTCATCAACAGATCAGTAACAGCTGCAGCAGCCTGGGTTCAGAGCAGACTGGCCATCTTGGCAAATCTAACTGCCCACACTGAAATCCACACCGCAGCAGCTTCACCAGCATCATGCCTGAAGTAGCCACATAATTGTGCACCCACATCTACACATCTCCAGAAAGCACCAGAGGGGTCAGATGCAAGGTAACACACAGTATTTGTCCTTTATGCTCCTTCCTTTTGCCCCCAGCAGTAGTTCTGATGTAGCTAAGCTGTTCCAGTAACTCCCATTCTGAACTGAGACCAGTTTGTAGGTCACAAAAAACAGCCTTGTTACAGTCATCCCTTCCCATTAACTTCCCCTTTTCAGGGAAAAAATTGCACAACTCATCCAGCTTCAGGAAAAGTAAGGAAACAGACTGGCAGGGGCACAGAAGGAAATTGCCCTCACTTCTACTGACCTTGTCTCCAAAGCCATTGTCTGTAGCACGTGTGGGTGGCTTCCCGGGGTACCGGTACACAATGAAGTCTCGCCTAGGTAAGCAGAGGGAAAACAAGACTTGCAAGAGCACACTTTCACTAGGACCACGTTATGAAGAAGTTTCCAGGGAGCAGTTTAGAGCCGTTGGTTTACAGAAAAATCAAGAATTTATCTCCCCAATAAATGAATGCTACCATCAAGCAATAGCCAAATGAGCAAACCTGTCTTGAGGGAAAACTAAAATTATCTGTGAAAGACCATGATGTTAACTCACAGATTAAGTCAAGTACTTATAGTTATAGAAGGATGCTCAGACACTGAGACACTATTCAGTCCAAGTGATTTAGGCATCCTGCAAATGGACTAGAACCTCAGTGAAGGGAGCTAGTAATTCCTGAAAAAGTTCAGGTGTTCCTTTAGTAGTGGGACAGAGTGAGCCAGCAAAAAGAGGGTTCTATTTCCTACCACTAGAGAGCCAGACTGCTTTTTACAGATGGCAGCATTTAATTAGCTTAATTCAGCAAAACAGCAGCACCTGCACAGTTCTGTGTTACCTCTGAAATAAATAGCAATGTTCACACACGAGGTAGGGCAGGTACTTGTCGCTCATGGAGCTTTCAAGAACACCTACATGAGTTTTAGTCATGCATGTAACTACCACACAGTGTTTCTACTACACACAGCTCCTTGTTTTCCCCCATTTTCCAGTCTTCAGACACTAGAAGCAAACACTTGACACTCAAGTTTAGTATCAGCAAAAAGATAACAAATAAGCATCTCTGGAAAATGACCCTGCCCTTAAACCCCATTATAACAGGGGCTGTGATGGCACCATTTGCACATCAGTTAAGTAAGGTTTTTAGGGAAGCATTTCTCATCCCTTTTCACACTTTACCTCTTGGTGGCAAACACACAGAAAGTTCTGGGGCCAGAATCCCCATACCAAGTGTAAAACGAAGTAAACCCTAAGAAAGAGGTACTTACTTGTACATCATTGATAAAGCGCTTATTTCCATCTGGCCAGCACTTTCCTACGCAATATTATGAGATTATGTGAGATAGCAGAAGCATCTAAACAGCAACAACCATATGCTACATTTCTGTTGTGTTAAAATTCTGTACCATTAAAATACCTGTTCAAAACCATCAGTTTGTTAAAGCAATAATGCACTGAAAGCTGAGATGTAAGGATTTGGGGGAGAATGAGGCAAAAGGAGTCTGCTACATGGGGTGGCCACAACCACCAAAATTAGTAAGACTGAATTGCTGCCAGAGTTGCTCCATCACATCACTTTACATGCATTTTTTTAAACCCATATTTGTTTCAGAAATGGCTGCATTCACCAAGCTTACTGGTTAAAGACTAAAGAAATAGAAGTTTGACCAGTAAAGTAGAAGCAGGGGATTGTAAAGCCTGACAGACATTTAATTTAAGGTACACTCCACATATTTTGCTTTTTTTCTTCTTAAATAACTACAGTTATGAATAAGCTTTTACTGTCCAGCCTGCAGAGGCTGCTCCTTTGAACCCATGCAAATTCCCTACTAAACCTGGTATTGTTTATATATGTACAGTTTGTTCACATTAATCAGTACAACCCTTAGTATTACTTATGCAATTGCTTTCCCACGATTTGGGTCTATCTAAAAAAACTCCACAAACTCAAATAATCACCTTTTAAATAACTACCTAAACACCTTCCTGTTCTAGTCTCTTCAAATTTAAATCTCTTAATAAGTCTTAAATCAGGCTTAAAAGTCTTAGATCAGGCTTACCTTTGGATCTCCTAGTCGTTCTAGATATTTCTCAAACGAGCCTTCCACATACTTTTAACAAAACAAAGAAGAAAACAGATATAAAGACTCAGGCAGTTAGAAAGCAAAGTTAAAATTAAACCTAAACACTACTTAACAGCTACCAGCTGTTGATTTGGAGGGGGCAAAGCATGTAGAACATAAGAATGATTTGAGGTATCCAAATAAGAATACCCAGAGATCCTAAAACATATTAATGATATAAGTCTAAGTAATATTCAGCTTTCTCCTTGATTAGATGAAGCACTTAAATGTGATTACCAGGAAGACAAACAAAGAAAAACCCCAAAACACATCACTACCCTACAAACCCACACTGCATACACTCAAACTGCCACAGACAAAACCAACCAAAAACCACACCTCAAAGCTCCATGACTTTATGTAATTATTCCAGCATTTCCCAGCATCCTTTGATATTAATTTATTGCTCCAAAAATCTACACATTTCCCACCTACTAAATTTTGCAATGGTCACTCCACAGAGAATATACTACACAAATAACTCACTACTGAGGTTTTAGTAACTTCTTTTCAGGAACTTCAGAACCAAAGTCAAATAAAACTGAGGCAACTGCAACTCAACATAAGGAAGCAGTCACCCTGTCATTTCTCCTGTCTTTCAAACATGACAACCATCGTGTTGTCAGTGCTAAACCAGCGACCCCCTCCCACAGCATTTCCCAACCACACGTTGGTGTGGTTTTACACGAACACCCAGTACTTACGGATTCAAACCTCGATTGGTGCTGCCTCATAAACGAGACGCAAGCTTTCCTAACTTCTGCGTGATGAATTTGAGATGTAAACAGCTGGAAACATAACGGTAATAAGGAGAAAACGTCAAGAGTTTAACTTGCATTTCGCGTGAGGCACGAATTCTCCGGACTAACGCCGCCACAAGAAGAGGCAGCGCAGAGGCTGCGGGCACCTGGGGACACCTGGAGCTGAGGGGAGCCCAAGCGCCCCATAGACATTCCCACACACCCCCACCCATTCCCACACACATTCCCACACACATCTCCCCCCATCCCCGCTGCCGCCAGCTCGCTCCGGGCACCCGGCCGGGTCTCCAGGAGCCCCCGGCCCGCCCCAGGCCTGAGGCCCCCGGCTGCCCCCAGCCCGGCCCGCTGCGCACCTGCTCCGACACGGCTCGGAAGAGGCAGGAGGCGTCCTTGGCCGTCATCTTGCGGTACAGCCCCAGGCTGCCCAGGTACTCGTCCATGGCCACCTCGCTGAAGGACTTCTGCCCGAAGTACTTCTTGGAGCCTTTGTGCATCTTCCCGGCCGGGGCGGCTGAGGCGAGCGCGGAGACGCGGGCGAGGCGCGAGGTGCCGGGCGCGCGGCCGCCGCTAATGAGGGGCCGCTAATGAGGGGCCGCTAATGAGGCACCGCGCCCACCTGCGAGACCGCCCGGCCCGGCCCGGCCCCTCGCATCCCGCTGCGGCCACTCGAGCTTGTTTCAGGCCCGTTTTTGGGGAGCCCGGAGCCAGGTGGGTGCGCATCCCAAGCCGCGGGAAGCGGCTCCTCCCGCACCTGGCCCTGGCTAAGCGCGCCCCTTCAGCTTCATCGCTCGCCAGCATCAGCCCCGAGGTTATCCAGAATTCCCCCGGCGCTCCCGGGCTGGAGGCGAGTTGCTAGCAGTGGGTTTGAAATAACTCCATAGAAATCGTGGAGTGAAAAGTCTTAGTTGCTCCTAATCAAGTATTTGGGGCAAACTTTGGGGGATTGGCAAAATTGAGCCTTGCACAACTGTGCGGCCTGATTTATTCCACCTGTAGGCCTTTGTGCTTGATTTGAAGCTTCTGTGTACATTTAACCTCCTAATGAAAATTGTACTTAGATGTCAGATGGGCCAATTCAGGAGTTTCATTTTCGTGTTTTAAACAAAAGCAACACAACTCCTCCCCCTCAACCGAACGATGTCCTTGTAGGAAGGGCAATTAGCACCAGTTATGCAGTTCTAAAGTTCGAGAGCATTTGAAGCCTAAGAACATACATGAACATTTTAAAGTTTAAGACCGCTTTGGTTTTCAAAATATTTACATGAAGAAATGGATGTAACACATCATTGTCAAATTTGATACTCTAAATGGGAAGCTCTGATCAGCATCAAAGAATCCCAGAATGGCTTGGGTTTGCAGGGACCCTAAAGGTCATCCCGTTTGAACCTCCCTGCCATGGGCAGGGACACCTCCTGCTATCCCAGGGTGCTCCAAGCCCCAGCCAACCTGGCCTCGGACACTTCCAGGGATCCAGGGGCAGCTGCAGCTTCTCTGGGAACCTGTGCCAGGGCCTCACCACTCACACAGGGGAGAATTTCTTCCTTACATATAATCCAAATAGGAAACACTGGCTGTGCAGAAGTCCAAACTGATGGGTTATATCGGGGTAACACCATGCAAACCAAGGATTGTATTGCCAAGTCCATCCCTGTCCTCTGTTTACTTTGTGGGTAAATCACCCAAAGGACAGCAGTCTGGCAGCAGGTTTGCAGCTTGTGACTTTTTTCACCCAGATTCACCAGATGCCTTTTTCCCTTTTGAGGCCTAAATCTCTTACTTTTAAGCCCTCTTTTCAGTGCTTCTGTAAACACATGAAACAAGAGCTGAAGGCATCTGCAGAACATCACAGGAACATCAACAAAGACAATTTATTTCTACCTGTACTTGGCAAAATGGTCAAGAGACCACAGTGCATTTGCCATGCCTGTAAAGAAGTAGTTTAGCTGGTCCTCATCACTGGAATTACCATCCCAGTGCAGCTTTTATGATATAAATATGTCTGTCCATGCAACTACACAGCTCATACTCCCTCCTTATTGACATTGTACTCTTTCGTGCATAAAGCTGAATGAGTTGGGCACTAAATTGGAAGCCACTTAGTATCAGTTAATAGTAAATGATATTTTCTTTGTGTGTTTGGCCCAGTTGCCAGATCTTAAGTGTAGGAGATGAGACATTTTATTCCAACTTTTTTATTTCTCCGCTCTGTTTATTGTAACCCCAAAACTTTATCCAAGAATGAAGCAAACTTTTCTGGCTGTCCAGGAGGAAAAGGTTTCAAAGCTGACAAGTCCATTGACTGCAGCGTCTCCACAAGAGTGCTGTAAAAACAGACCAAAATCAAAAATTAAAGAAGAAAGAGCTATCCCATAGGAAATTTTTTAATACAGTTTTCTTTCAATGTATGCATATGGAACTCTTTAGCATGGAAATATTAAATAAGGATATGTATGGAAAAGAAGAGAATGCACAGAGCAGCAGGCCTCAGGCAGCACTGGCTCATAGGGAGCATTGCTGAAAACACACTTCCATCAGTTTTCAGAGACAAACTCAACTTTTAAACGTTTTAATCTTCTGTGGTTGCAATGCTGGGCGACTGAACAAGATCTGAGGCTCTGCTCCATAAACCACAGGAGGAAATCCATCTTATTTGAACACATGGCAGAGTTCTCCCCTGATCACAGAGCCAGAAAGAACAGCTACATCAATCTGTTACTTGCTATTATCAGGCTGCAAATAAGGCTCAAACGCTTGGCACTGCCCAACACAAAGAAATAAAAATTCCAAAGCTGACAGGAGCACCAAGATAATGAGTTTAAGAAACATGCTCAATTTCAATGAATGCCAGGCCTGGTCTGCTCAGAAAGCTCTTCTGAAACATACAAAACTCCGCTTGCAGGCAAAGGAACAAGACTAAGTAATGGGAGTTACATTTTTTTCTGCCTTCAGTTTAAAAGTCATCTCTTATTTTTAGAGTGGAGTCAACCACAAGCAAAGAGAAAACAGTAAGACACAGTCAAAACCAGGAGAAGAAATAAACACAACAGGAGTCAGGATGAACTCTAAAAAGAGGAGCTAGGGGTTTTGGTGATGGTGGGATTTTTTTATGTGTTGTTTCTTTGTGGGGTGGGGTTTTTTTTGTGTGTTTTTTGTTTGGTTGGTTTGGGTTTTTCTCCTGAAGTGACAGGCAATAGATCTGTGAAACTCCTTGTCAGAAGGTATGGTGGATCCAGAAAGTTTGGTTAAAAAGGCAGCCTGAGTAAGTACTTGAAAAACAAGGGTACTTAAAATTTCTAACCAGATACTATCTGATCTATTTATCCCCCTGAATCCAAGTGTTTTTCTTTTTTTAATCTACCTCATGTTACCTCAAGTGGAAAAAAATAATTAGACGAGGTCATGGTCAAAAGGCTTGCTAAGTGTGGTAAATCACTACCTAGTGTTAGTCTAGTCACTCTGGAAAATCTAATATCCAGACGGGGATTACAGAGAAGGATGTACACTTCCTTGTTACATTCTCAGTTCTGCAGTCATGTGGACTGAATGTTCTTGCCCAGCGGGAACAGCGCAGCAGCTCCGTACCTGCAGTCACAGTACAGGACACAGCCATCTCTGTGGAGCTGTTTGGCCAGCTCAAGCTGATGGTTGTCCATCAGCTTGTCATTTATTACTACTATTAGTGGTTTTCCTTTCTCTAGAGTCTCCAGGCAGCTACCAGCACCTACGAGAGAAACAGAAAACATGATGAGAGGTGAAATACCCCCCTACTTGCTGCTGAAACAGGGTGAGTGATGAAATACCTCCCTACTTTCTGTTAAAACAGGGTGAGTGATGAAATACCCCCCTCCTTGCTGTTAAAACATGGTGAGAGGTGAAATACGCCCCTACTTACTGCTGAAACAGGATGAAAGATGAAATACCTCCCTAATTGCGGTTAAAACATGGTGAGAGATGAAATACCTCCCTACTTGCTGTTAAAACTCTGGAACAGCCCAGCTCTAGCTGTGGAGCTCAGCACTCCCAGCCAGCCCACTCTTGGGACAGACAGACTTCACGCCCACACGTCCCGCAGCCCCAGGAAGCAGCCGGGCTGTACCTGCGTGGCTGATGACCAGGTCTGCGCTCCGCAGGTCCTCAGCCAGCGAGTCCTTGAAGCGGAACGCTTCCACGGCCAGGGCCGAGCTGCGGCTGGGCTGCGGCAGCGAGCCCCGGCCCACCTGCAGCACCAGCTTCTGGTACCCGCGGCTCTGCAGCGCCTGCGGGAGAGCGGAGCGGAGAGCGCGGGGATAACGGCGGTGGGGAGGCGGGATGATGGGGAGATGGAGAAGAGGGGGATGACTGAGGGGATGACGGGGGTGCACGAAGGGGAGGAGGCGGGGATAGAGAGGGTGTGTGAGGGGTGTGCCCAGCTCCCGACTACCCCGTCCCTTCCCTTCCTCCACCAACACTCCACAATCCTCCCCCGGGTACCCCAAACCACTCCGGGCCCCTCAAGCCCCCGGGCCGGGACGCGGCAGGGAGGGCGGGCAGCTCGTGGCGCGCAGGCGCCAGCCCGGGAGGGCAGGCCCGGCCCAGCGCGGGGCCGGGGCGGGTGTCGGTGTCTCGGCCGGCTGACCTGCAGCGCGGGCGGGGAGCGGGCGGTGGCGATCAGCTCCTCGAAGCTGGTGGTGCCCACGGTGACGAACACGGACTTCATGGCCGCCGGGACAGGCCGGGCCGGGCGGGGCCGGGGCCGCCAGGGGGCGCCGCGCGCCCGCGCACAGCTCCCGAAATGGCGGCCGGGCTGAGGGGAGGGACGGGGCGGGCGGGAACGCCCCCTGCCCTCAGGGGCCCGGCCCTCCGTGTCCCTCCCTCCCTGTCCCTCCCTGTCCCTGCCTGTCCCATTCCATGTCTGTTCCCTGTCCCATTCCATGTCCATTCTATGCCCCATTCCATGACTTCTCTTCGCGAGTTTTCCCCGCCCGTTTCGGGACGCTGTGTGATTTTCCCCCGCGGTGCCACACCAGCAGCGATGGTGGTCGCTCGAACCCGGAGCCCACTGTCCGCCAGCGTTTAGAGGCTGTTTCAGGTTTTTAGATTTTCAAGAAGAGGTAAAAAATAAAATTGGAAAAGGGATTCGGAAATTTTTGGCGTCCATGTGTTATTTCAGCACTGGAGACCCACATAACTCATGGACAGCCTGTCTGGGTATGTTCAGAGCTGCCAGAGCAAGGCCACAGCCACCTTCCCTTTACAACTGATGCTGGCCCAAGCCTCCCACAACACTTTCTGATGGAATAACACTTCAACCTCTACTCCAAAATTATGAATATTAAATGTGTTAACACACTTATGAATATTACATTTGTTAAATGTGTTCACTGAAGAGTAAGAGTGACCCCTGAACAGTTGCACAAACCGAGGTGGCAGTTTTGTTTCTTAATAGTAAATGTAACACATTGCACAATTTGCTACAAAGATAAACCAAAATTAGACAGCTAAATCAATTTATTCCCTGAATTAAATTCAACAGATGAGGTCACAACTGTATACACAGTTGTGTATACAGGGTGTTCGAAGAAGGATGCAGCTTTCTTGAGGAAACCTCTGATTGCCATGTTAATGCTTTGTTCACAATCCTCATTAGCCCCCTGTTGTTTTCATTTAGCATAATGAGCCACGCTGAAATGTATTTATTTTTTGATTAAAGCAAGTAGTGCTGACAGCAGACACTGAAGGAAAAATGCAATATTGGTGTCCTGAATGCACAGGGACATAGTGACTCTGCCCAGGCTCATCCAGCTCCTGCTGTTGTCCCTCAGGAAAAGGAACGTGTGAGCTGAGGGTGGCCACAACACGAGCCAGGTAAAGACCTCACTGACAGGTCAGTAACAGCTCCAGTGACCATCCAGCAAAGACATGGACACAATGTCAGCCCAGGAAACCCAAGCAGCAGTTCAGGAAGAGAATTAGCACCAAAGACACCCACAAGTCACCTCTGTCACCCCAGCATGAGAAGGACATGGTTAGGTAGGTTCAGAGGAGGGCCACAAAGAGGCTCAGGGGCTGGAACACCTCTCCTGGGCAGATAGGCTGGGAGAACTCAGTATATTCAGCCTGGAGAAGAGAAGGCTCCAGGGAGTCCTTAGAATCCCTTCCAGTGCTTAAAGGGGCTCCAAGAGAGAGCTGGACCTTGAACAAGGCCCTGGAGTGACAGGACAAAGGGGAATGGCTTTAAAATGAAAAGGGACAGATTTAGACTGGATATTGAGAATGAATTTTCCCTGTGAGGATGGGCAGGCCCTGGCGCAGGGTGCCCAGAGAGGCTGTGGCTGCCCCTGGATCCCTGGAAGCATCCAAGGCCAGGATGGATGGGACTTGGAGCAGCCTGGGATAGTGGAAGGGGTCCCTGCCCATGGCAGAGAGTTAAAACTGGGTGAACGTTAAGGTCCTTGCAAACCTAAGCCATTCTATGGTTCTATTTAAACTGCAAGGTTAAATAGAGTCCCTTGACTAAGTGTGACTGGAAGACCCAGCTGAGAACTGGTCAGGGCGATTAGGACCTATTAGTGCAGTCAGGACCCTGACAGCTGTTGGACAAGAAGGTAGATTTGGGATGAAAAGGAAAATGCTAAATTTTTCAGGTGTTGGAGATGAGGTTCAGGATAATTAAATGTTAGAGGTTCTGGTTGTTTTGGGGTTTTTTTTGTGTCACTGAAAGTCAGTGTCCTCTGCAGCTAGCACTTCCAGCTTCATGCTGTATAAGGGCTAGAAGAAAAAATATTCACATGTAAAATTGCAGTGACTTAAATTTGTGTTGGAGTTTTCACTGGAGGATACATTCCACTTTCACATTGAATCAGGCTTGTTAGGGTGATTTTAAATGGAAGAGGAAAGGGAAAGCCATCCATTAAGGGACTCAATTTCATGGTAATTTGTACCTGTTGTTTTAATTAGAAGTTGTGTAGGGCATAAGTAGAATTTTGCCCATGAGTGCTTATGCTGTGGTCCGTGAGAACTACAGATCAGTCTAAAATTAGGTACTTAGAGCTGATCCTGTGCAGTTTTAAGGCAGATAGAGGTCATGTAATCCAGGCTTGGTGCTGTGCCTTATTTCATTGCTACCTCTGCCGTGTTCCTATAGATAAACCACACAGTGGTCACAGAACTGACCTGACAGTGACTTGTTTGCAGTTAGATCAGCTCACTGGGCTGCAAAGCAGCACTACCAGCACAAGAGAGGTGGCAGAGCTATGGTACATTGGATTTAGTCTGTTTTAAACACTGGGGGATTGCACCTCCATTCACCCTTTTGTTGTCATGAGCTGCAGGCTTACGTGGCTCGGACAGCTGAGTGCCTGTAGCTTTTGGGGCAAACCTTGTGTGAGCCTAGCCCTGATTGGGCTGGGCAGTCTCTATTTGCAGTGCCAATTGTCTCTCTGCAATCTGTACATGTGTCATATTTTCAGGGACAGTCCACAAACAGGAGCTCAAGCTGACATAATGTGGTCCTGGACCCCAGGGAGCGGCTAGGACAGGGCTGAAATGGAAAATAGGTTCTCCTGAGAGCTTGCTCCCATCTGTGCTATATAGGGCTTAATTTATATTCTGATATTTTCTTCCTGTGACAACAACTGGGCAAGAAAGTGAAGATGTTGAGAGTGCAAGCTGTTTTTTGTTGAGAGAGGAATGACATATCCCTCCTCTCTTCTCCTTAGCTGGTATTTGAAATGTTTCTGGATGTCTCAGTTTTGAGCACTGTCACTTTGTATTCACTTCAGCATGCCACAATTTGCCCAGAAAGTGCTATAATTATATTATTCAGGGGTAAGAAAGTGAATGAAAATATACTAGTCAGCTCACATCTTTGTTTCTGAAAACTACATCTTGCCTTTAGTTTGCCCTTGAAGTCTAAAGGCTGACCCACAACTGTGGAGATAAAACTCTGATGATCCTTGAAATGCGTGGGCCACAGTGTATCAAATAATGAACCATTAAGAAATATACACCAACAGGAAGGCAAGAAACCTGTATAAGTCTACAAACTTTTATTTTCTTTGAAGGCAAAAAAAGCCAATGACTGGCCAGTTATTGACCTTCCTTTCCCTTGTATTTTGTAGACAGATTGATTCTCCATATGGCTTGTGATATAATGCTGCAGTGGATGATATGAAGCACAGGAGAGCAATTAGGCTTCTCCACACTAAATTTATGTTATATTTCAGTACTTTCAATATGTTTATAAATGTGTAAAAAGAGTAAAGATAGTCTTACTCCTCTTTCCAATTTGCTTTATATAAATCTGAACTGAAAAATATTTTATTCCTTTTCCTCTCTCATTGAGATGTAGCACCTTTGAGGGTTGATATTTTTGTTACTGTAAGGAGCTTTGAAAATCAGATGGAAGATCTTTTGGGGGATAATTCCTTCATATTACTGTGATTCAGAGATGCTTGGCCTGGGAAAATAACAGAGTAGCATTTGTCAGGCAAATGTCCATTTGAAATATTTCATCACATTTCTACATCCTTTGAATTGTGTCTTTGTGGGTGTGTTATTTAGCAGATGGATTGACACAAAGGCTCAGGCTGAATGGAGACAGGGAGATGTTGGATCACCTCCTCCTCGGGGCTGACTGGCAGAAGACAGACACCAGACAGACACACAGACACTGGCAGAAGCACATGGAGGAACTTTTCTGACTAAATACCTCACGTGTGGAGTGGAAGAGGAGGCTGTGGCTTAGCTGGAATGAATGTCCACCATCTGCCAACTCTCATGGATTTTTTCTGAATTTTGCCACATTTTGTGGTGTACCTTGAAGCCCACAAGGTTCTGGAATTAGGGAATCATAGTTTTTAAGGTCTTATGTTTCTGAAGAAGAGACAGAAAACTGCTCAGTGACTTTTAAGGCCCTGAAGACACAAACAATATTTGTTAGAGATCTATAACGATGTATCTGTTTGTTACTCCTGTTTTGCTTTGTATTTAAACAATGTAATGATTCATGGATTGAGGAAGCTGAGTGTTTACTCGTTTATGACAGTAAAGTGCTGCTGGCCTTTGCTCTCCCCTGAAGCAGGAGGGCATCTCTACACTGGGACACAGCACATGCTGGGTTTCAATCCTTGTTACAGGGACTGTGGCTCGGCTGATTTGTACCAGCCCTGGAGCTGGATCCTTCCTGATGCTCAAGGCCTCTGCTAATTTTCTGTCATAAACAAAATGCTCACCTTAAAGAACCAAAATGGCTTCATATCAAATAAATAACATTTCTCAAAGCTGGCAGTTTTCAGTAGTGTTTGGGTTATTGGGAGATGAAAGAAAATAATTTGAAGAGCGGTGGCAAACCAGGCTGGTGTGCAGAGGTAGGAGGGAGTGTGAGGTCTGTTGCAAGGAGCACTCGGTGTTGTGATGTCTCCTGGCAACTGGTCCCCTCAGCTCCCCTGGGATCCTGCTGCTTGCTGTCTGTGGAAAACACTCACCACCATTCCTGCCTGCTCTGGCCACCAGCACACACCTCCACAGCAGCCCACTGTGTGACCACCCTGCCGCTTCATATTCCTGCATAATCCTTCTGACAACCAAATCTATTAAACATTCATTTTCATCCAGGCAAATCAGATTCCCTGAAATCAATTGAGCTTTGTTCTCTGAGGGCAGCTTGTGCTGGTGCAAATATAATCAAATCCTGAGGTGCCTTGCATGCATTTTTACAAGCCCTGAGATGGAATTTATGTTTCAATTATTCTTTTTGAT